AATATTGACTGAGGCGAAGGGAGATCACTCTCAATCCCTTGTCCGACTACTGCTATTAGTTGGGTGAAGTGCTCGTAATATATCCCATGTGGCGACACTTGTGTTTTAGAGAAGAAAGGCAATTCTCGATTCGCACTCCTTTATAAAGGAAGCCACAATTATTGTTACATTAGAAACGATTAGCTATTATATTGGAATATAAAATTTATTCCAGATAACAAAATATCAGAGAGCTGTCCTCGGAGAATATCCCGTGTCACAATTGTCGCCACATAAACATTTAGAAGTGTCTGATCTTAAGGTAACCCTACCTATTTAGAAATCTTCTGCTAAGTGCAGATCATGAAATTGGGACACAGCAGCACAGCAATATAGAGGCAGCATTCACTTTTTAACAATATCCATATGAATTTATGTCTCATGTTCGGAAATCTTGGGATTTGGCCAATATTGCGATGCTGCTGTCGCCCATATATTATTAGCTGTAAGGAAGAAACACTGTAGAGAAAACAGACGACTTGTGTATACATTACAGAAACATTTATTCAGATGACCGAAAGTCGAAAGTAATATGCCTCAAGGGAGATCCAAAAACTGGCAAAATTGTATAGAAAGTATGGCCTTGTGCCATGCTAATAAGCCAAGAGGTTTGCCGAAAGGAAACTGAAAGTTGGGCCAAGACTGTGAGCCTAAAAATACGCCAAAAATACGCTAAGAGCGGGTATATGGAATGGTAGTCTCTCTCTCTCTCTCTCTCTCTCTCATACATGTATGCTCGTTCATTCACTCTAACCCTCACCTCTAACATACATACACTCTCCCTCTCACACATACAAACATACATACACACATTATTATACATACATGCTCATTCACTCTCTCACACTCACACACAAATACACACACATACATGCATACAGACAGACAGACAGACAGACATGCCGATTCAATCTTTCATTTACTCTCACACACGCACACAATACACACACAAACATACATATTCATTCAGTCTCTCTTTCTCACACACATATACATATACATACACACACATGCATGTTCATTCAAACTTATATTTACTCACACACAAATACACACACATACATGCATACAGACAGACAGACAGACATGCCGATTCAATCTTTCATTTACTCACACACGCACACAATACACACACACACACACAAACATACATATTCATTCAGTCTCTCTTTCTCACACACATATACATACACACACATGCATGTTCATTCAAACTTATATTTACTCTCACACAAACGCACACATACATACATACATACATACATACATACATACATACACACCTGCTCATTCATTCACTCACTTGCACACATTCAGACATTAAAAGGATAAGGAGTCTAAGAGAAGATCTTCCTAAAGAAGGCAGCCGCTCTCGTCAGCGCCTTTCTAAGGGGATGAATCTCTCTGTCATCCACAAAGCTGTGGTCGTCCTCGTCCTCGTACACCCAGTAGTCACTGTCATCGTCGTCACTTGGGGCAGGATAGTAAGCGGCGTGGTTGATGGTGACGGGGGCGGGGAGCGTCTCACCGTAGACAGGGCGGGCCCAGAACGGAGTGAAAACGCTCAGGGGGTCGGGACAACGGGAAGGGGACACAGCCAGGGAACGCTACACATCGAGGGGTGGAGGGAGGGACAAAGGAAGTCAAGTGAGACAGAAATACGGGATACTTTTGCAAAGAAAACGAATCACACTTTATTATAGGGACTGGGCAGACTTAATGTGCAACAAATCAGCTATACTAGACGGAAGAATTTATAGGGTGGGCATGTAAAACTACATACACAGTCGGACTCCTCATCCTGAGACGGCCACAAACTCACAGCCGCAGGAGTGCCATAATAGCGAATTATGTCCTCCCGAGCTGAAAAAGAAAAACGAAAGCTAGCCTCAGTTAAATGTACGCCGACGGCTACGTTCAAAAAATTACAATTCATGACTTCTGACAGCTACAGTATGTCACTCGAACTCGGCCCTTTGACACCTCGAAGTCCAAGTGTATGTAGGGTTACAGGCTGTGCTGCAAGACGACATTCAACCAATAAAATGGGCCAAACAGTTGCTTTTCACGTAATACAGGTTATCTTACATATGTACAACATCGCCCGACACTATAATGTACGAACAGGTTTCATCTGAGCACCACATGTCAAGTTTACAATCTAAAATGTTCAGTTAAGACAATTGCAAATGGCGGCCGCCATCTTCAGTCCCGATACTGCTGCCTAACAACGACCAATTTCACGTCTAATTTAGCATGTTAATACTGTGAAGTGGAATAATTGTGATCTTAAATACCTTGAATGTGAAGCCTTGTATTCATCTTGGAAGAAGACACACTTCGAAAGATACAGCAGTGAGCGAAACGTGGATATAACCGGAGCAAAAGCGATCGTTTTTCTGTTGGAAACAGAAGGGGACGTCGGTACCGGCAACGGTAACTACGTTACGGAGTTCGAGGACTCAGAACGAGGCGCCTAGGCTAAACGTATGGCCGCCTTTAGGGTCATTTGTTTTGTCTTCTTCTTGTTTTTTCTTGAAATTTCAAGACACGAAGCTGAAATTTCAAAATGTAAAGTTTGGAGTTTGAAAAAATTGTTTTGGTGTTTTTCGTTCCTCCATAACTCGGAACACTGTGAACGTGAATTTCATTCACTTTGATACGGATCATCAATGGTAAACGTTAACCTCACATATTTGCTACCCCGAATATCGATACCGTATGGAATCTATATAAGAACAACCTAAAATCTTAAATTCTACTGGCCTTCGGAATACCTAAATTGTTTCATTCCACAAAGTGAAACGGTGATAGCGGTTAGATCACTGATGATCAAAGTAGGATTTAGCAATTATTCCTTTGTCTAACTTAAAGAGAAAATCTTTCAACGAGCAAGTCGGTGACTTAAAATGATGAAACAGGGACTGGGTCATTTATTATAGGACCCGTGAAGATCCAGGTTGAGAATAGGTCTTCAGCAACCCACGCTTGCTGTAACAGGCGACTAACGGGATCGGGTGGTCAGACTCACTGACTTAATGATGCATGTCATTGTATCCCAATAGCGAAGATCGATGCTCATGATGTCAATAACTGGATTGTCTGGTCCAGACGCGATTATTTACAGACAGCCGTCATATAGCTGGACTATTGCTTGGTGCGGCGTTAAACAACAAACAAACATGTATTATTGGGAAGGGGTCGGTGAGATTCAGGGGGTGGGAGTCATGGAAATGACAGCGACACACACAGAGAGGTGGCCAAAATGTATCAGTCCTGAAATGAAACGTCTTTGATGGTGTGTAAGTGAGTGCAAGTATTTTCACAACGTCTGTTTAATGTGGGACAATTTACGTCGATGTTTACCATTCTACAAGCACAAGCATGGTCCTATCAAACAAAGGGGTAATAAGTTCGAAAGCGCGATTCAAACCCCACGATAAGCAGATTCTGCCAAGACGAAGGAATTAACACTCCACGGCTTATTATTGTGTCCTTTTTTTAATGGCCGCCATAACTGTACATCTGCTACAAATCATTCTCTTATTTAAGGGCGTACTTTCCCAGTGGCCCAAGGAGAAGTTCGCGTTCACCATCATCACATCAAAGAAATACGAAAAAGTGTATTCAGCCACTTCAGAAATTCCTGGTCATGATTCTACTGTTTTATCATCAATGACAAGGTTCAAGAGTGGTCTCATTCCCAATATGTGGAGCGTAGTGCAAGGAGTACTAGTAGGGGAGGTGACCCAATGGGTTAGAATTGGTCTTCCCATGCTTCTCTAAGAGGCGACCAACCGATCGGGTCGTATGGCTCGCTGACCTCGAGATATGATGGTTGTTGCATGTCATTGTATCCCAGTTGCATAGATCGATGCTAATGTCCAGTTCAGATAGGATTATTTACAGACCTGTCTTATAGCTTGAACATTGCCGAGTGCTGCGTTAAGCAAAACAGCAGCAAAACTAGGGGAGTGGGTGAAATGGGGTTTAACATTACGTTTGTGATTTATTGCACTTTTAACGTCTTGTGTATGCATCTGGGTGGGTGTGACTGCTTGTAATTGTCTGGACTAATTCCAGTTTTAAAGTGCTGACCCACAGCGATACCATGTCGCAGCTTCACATAGGTACTGCACTCAAGACACATTGCACTCACTTCCATCCAGTCTCTACTTGTTTTATGCTCTGAATGTGGAGCGCCAGGCAGGGTTACATTATGTGACCAGAATCGAACCCACGACCTTCATCTTTCAAATATATATATTTCTCTATTGTTGAAAGACTTTGGTTCCCATGACGCAATTTTGAACAGTATTTCAGTTATATCCGTGATGTTGCAGTTTAATGTGGGAAGAAAGTCTTCGTCAGGACAAAGGAGGAACTTTGCACAGTGAAACATCATGGCAATTCTTTCGGTCACCCCGTGACCCGGAATGCTTGAAATAATGTGTTTCAGCTGCTCAGCTCAAACCTATATGACTACCTCCAGGGCCCACTTGCACAAAGCGATCTTAGCGCTAAGACTATTGTAAGCCTATGCTAAAGTATGGGAGTTACGATCATCTTAGCGCTAAGATCGCTAGTGGTAGAGCGTCTGCCCATAGTGAGCAAGATCCAGGGTTCGACCCCCGTCTTGGCACACGAAAAGATGTAAAAAGATGGAACTTGTTACCCTGCCTGGCGCTTGGCATTAAGGGGCTAAAACAAGGACTGGTCAGCTCGGGAGTCAGTATGCTCTATGAGTGGGGTATTCATGTTAAACTGGTATCTCAGTTGGCTAGCATTATGAAAACAGTCTGTACTATTACAAGCAGGTACACATGTACATGATCAAAAGTGCAACAATCTTGGAAACAGAGTTAAAGCCCAATTCACTTCATCTCACCTCACCTCAAACCTATATCATCTTACTTCTCTAATGGGTATCCAGGCCTACAAAAATAAGAAAGCAATACTCATTTTGTTTGATATTTTATTCCATGCATCCATTACAGTAAATATACTGTAACATCACTGATATTCTGTACATATTAAATATGAGTTGTGGAATCTGGCAGTATGCTGTAATGTAGAATTGTATTACATGTATTTGTAAAAATCATAATTTCATGGTAGTGTCACACTGAACAGTTCCTGTGTGGTCTGTTTAATTCTAGACCCCACTAATAGCTATATTTGTTCAGAGTAGTGAGTGAGTACGGTTTTACACCGCTTTCAGCAATATTCCATCAATATCACGGCAGGGCACACCAGAAATGGTCTTCACACATTGTACCCATGTCTGGAATCAGAGTAAACTGACACTATATCTTATACTTTCTGAGAAGAAACCATCAGGGCAGGGGCAGACATTACAGAGTACTTTATCATGGGATCTAGTTCATGTAGTTAGAAACTCATGTACAAGGTGTAGGGAATGTGAAATGGGCTTTTGGTTGATTAATGTGGTAAGACAACAGAGAGAGTGAGTGACTTTAGTTTAACACCGCTTAGTCCAGTTATATCGCAGCCTGTCAGCTTAATGTGGGAGGAAAGCCAGAAGTGGTGCAGGTTTCAGACGATTACCACTTTGGTGAAACCCACGAGCACGGGTATGGTGCTGACAAACATAGAAACATAATCAGGGTGAGGCAGACCAACAGAGAGATGAACTTCAAAATGAATGATGTGTAATGTGACAGTCTGCAATATTTCAGCTGTATCATGGTGAGAAATCAAGTCTTGACCAGATAAGAAAACACAACGTTGTGGATAACAACTACTGGTTTATTGCATTTAGCAATGTTTTAATGTTGATTCTCACACCGTTATCATGGTTATCACTTCAGCTTGATAACAGTGAAAGAATGTACATGAAAACATTTCTAAATGCAAAAAAACAGAAGTTGTTATTCATAATGTTCTGTTTTCTTATTTACTCGTCAACTTCTAGAATGACAATGAAATAGATAGACCAGATAAAAGCAATTAATTAAGTCACAGAGCTCATCCCAAGTTTAGTCATCTCTTGCAACATGTACAAGCGTGAAGTACTAGGGACCTGTTCTGATCTGGAATACCAATGAAGCACACTTCACAAGTGTATTTAATAAATAACATCCTGTAATATACAATTAGTTTGTTTGTTTTTTAACACCGCACTCAGCAATATTCCAGCTATATGACAGCAGTCTGGAAATAATCGAGTCTGAACCAGACAATCCAGTGATTGACATCATGAGCATCGATCCACACAATTGGAAACGATGACATGCATGAACCTAGTCAGCAAGATTGACCACCCAATGCTGTTAGTCGCCTCTTATGACAAGCATAGTTGCCTTTTATGGCAAGCATGGGTTGCTGAAGACCTATTCTAGCCCAGTACCACACCATCACTTGTCCCATCTTCTTCAACAACAAGCCATGTATAAATCAATGTCAACATGCACTTTATTGCACAAACGTTCAATGACAACCATAGTGTGTATCTCCAGGTAGCAATCACATCTGCTACAGAACACTTGTCTTAATGGTTACACAATAAAATCAATAAACAAATAACAGACAAACACCTTTTGCTTGACAGCATCCACTCTGTATCACAACACATGGTCCTCTCCCACTTTAAAAAGTTAACAGTGATCGTCTTCTTATCAACCTGTGAGATACTTCCTGCCAAAGAACTGGACCTTCTTCTCAAATGGTGATGACTTGATGGGAGTGTTTATTTCATAGAAGGGGTTCATGGCCAACTGGAACAAAATCAGACAAACATGACAAATGGAAATCAACTTCATCATCCTCAATAGTTCATGGTATGCACAATTAACAAATAAAATAAGAAATGTCAAATCAATTTAATAATAATCTTATTACTAACTTGCTTATTGTTGGAAGAGACAGATAAAATACTGGAAATATATATTTCAGTCTTCATGTTCAAATTAGCAGTGTAGCAAATAGAGTCAATGACTGTCTACCTGAAAATGGGTGACCAATGTTTGACGACTGGCCAAATACTCGTACTGCTATATTATACAGTCGTGCCTCGTTTATACGGACACCTGCGTCATTTCACAATTCGTCCGTATAAACGAATTTCCGTATAACTGAAACCAGCTTCTTACTGGAAGAGTTACTTCCCTCCAATTATGCAACTCATGACAGATGACAGAGCAAACAGATACATCCACTCAATCTTTATTCAAGACATACACGTTTCAAAAGATCTGTCATGGAAGTTTGAACTTTACCACATTTTGAGGTTTGAATTTTAAACAATAATTCCAAATTGTCCAGATCGCCTGTGTTCTCGTAATATGTTATCAAGGTCTGTGTTCTCGTAATATGTAATCAAGGTCTCTATACAAGCACAAGCTTCCTCGCCATATTTATCGAATGGGATTACATGTACAATAAACCAGCTCGTCTCAAACGTAACTCAGTGTCACTGGTTAATTGACTTCTCAGGAATCAAAGGATTACCACCAGCGGAAGGATTACCACCAGCAGAAGTGTATTGTGCGGTTAAGTGAGACAATTTTGTGTGCATTTCAGTGTTTTGTGTATGAAAATGACCATCCGGTTCCGGAAACTGAATTTCCATACATACGGGTAAATTTATATAGTAATTATTTCGTTTTGAATGAAAATTGTGGTTTCCGGATATCTGAAGTCTGCATAAGCGGGGCATGACTGTATATCTGAAACCCTTCATTCTCCGAGGATATTGGTCACACTAATATGAAGCTCTGAAGTTGTGGTTGCAAGTGAACAATGACATTATTATTATACATTTTGCATTTAATAACGGTATTAAAAATGTAAAGTATATCAGGCTCTGTATCACTTAGTAACATTAATAACGCATCGAATGGTTACACTGTGGCGATGCAGTGTTTGCTGTTTAGCACCGCACTCAGCAATCTTTCAACTATGTCACTGTGGCCTATTAAAACTTGAGTCTGGACTAAACAAACCACAAGAAAAATTGCTAAATGATATAATTTTATTTTTTTTATATCAAAATTCAACGAATCAGACATTTTCATTTATCATATTTATGGAATAAGATTCCGAAAATTCCAAATCAAGATCACTGACATTCAGTTTCTTGAAATTATAGAGAGAAAAAGACATTGATTATAAACATGATAAATGATAATTGATAATTTGTAACACCTGCAACCAATAATACTGGCTATTGCTAACTCAGCCATAAGCTGTCCCTTACCTTTACGTAAGTGTCATATGTTTCTGTAAAGAAGTTTTTTATGCCATCTTCATTCTTAATATCATGGAGCATCAGCAATCTCATTCCTAAAACAATGTCAAGGAAACACAGAAGTAGGTTGTGATGTACTTTCTACATAAAGTTAGTCAAGCCTCAAAAATGATTAAAATCTCTTGATATGTGAAAATGTATCTACACTAGAGAGTAAATACTAATCACTGTCATGAGTGTAATGATCCTTGAAAGTGTGTCATGCGGTGTTACTGAATTGAACACTCAAATACTTTGTCTGGAAATCAGAACCAGTAAAATTCTCACGATATCACTTTTTAAATGTGTAGAGTGGCAAAAGTTTTCCATATCACTTGTTTGTAAATATAGTGATCATTTGGTTTAGATGTCATAGAGACCTACACAAAAGTACTATCGCTGTGAAGAACTTGCAGAAACGTAAGGTATTGAGGCCATCAAGAGTTATTCCCCTTGCAATATGAAGCCTTCTTAAAACCCTATTAAATCAACCATTTCTCTCATGCTGCACATGTCAAGTAGGCCATTACTTGACCACTCCTTGAACTCTGAAGTAATTAGCAAAGGATACGCCCAGCTGTCACAAATGCTGAGACAAACCACTCGTTGAACTTGTCCACGATCTTGAGATACATGTTGTTGGTGACCCACATTTGCTCATCTACCAGATCAAGAGCCGCATGGGCAATAAACTGGTTTAGGTGGCGATGATCATCTCTCTGTAGGACAGAGAAACTGGTTTAATATTCTAATAATCATTTCACAGACAGGAGGTTCCAGTAAACACATATCAACAGGTAGTGTACCCTACGATTTTTCACCCATATTCTTCTCCAAATTAATTTAGAAGTTACATTGTTTGATCAATTGATCAGTTTTTTTCAGGTTTTCATCCACCATTTGTACACCCAGGTAGATGCAAGGAATGCAGAACACACTAAGGGAGTGGCTCTTACTTTCTTGTATGTACATCACGACAGACGCTGAAGCTTGTATATGAACCAAATTTCATCACCTTTATCAGTTCAAACTTTACATTACAATGCTCAAAGTATTAATTCTATAATGACAATACATGTAAATAATAACTATGATTATTAATAACACAAAATTACCCAGTAAATGATTTATTCAATCATGATAAATAGTTCTAACCCCCCATTTCTTAAAGTGAACATAGTGCTATGACAATTGAAACTACTTTAATATGGAATTAAAACAGTCATAAACATATCATGTCAGTAAACATGATAAACACTGCCTTCCATATCAGGGAATGCAACTTACCTTTGGATCATTTGCCTTATTGGGAGGGCAAAATTCCATCTCAAATATTGGGTTGTCATAGTGTCCTACTATAACGAAGTAGTAGTTTCCTGACATCCTTCAAACACTGTCTATCTACAAACACAAATATATCACAATGCATTTTATACCTGGTTCTCTTGATGATTGTTTTTGATATATATCAAATTATTAACATGATTTGGAGGTCATTAAGGTCAAGTAAAAATCTGATCAGAATGAATGTGGCTTTGAAAATATGTCAGTCAAATCATGATATGTCACCTTAATATGACTGGAAAACATAAACTGATGCAGGTTTTAGATTTCTACCACCTTGGTAAAACCAACAAGCAGAGGTTTGCTGACAATAAAGGATCCTATTCAGACCGAATCTGGCATTCAACCAAAAAGCCAGGGTTCCTGTTACAACTTAGAGAGGAAAACTTGAACAACAAATTGTTTTACCCGAGGCCATATATGTATTCTTGAACACTATACTCAGCAATGTTTCAGATATTATGAGATATATGACGGCGACTTGTAAATAATCAATGTATAATGATATCGATCCACATCATCTGGGTACGTTGACACACCATCACATCCACAGAGCATGACCACCCGATCCACTTAGTTGCCTCTATTGACCACAATGATCATTGATTAATTAATTCATCGGAGAACCATGTATAAATTTTCGTTAATATGCTATCACGTCCAATAAACCTAATCTAACTTTTACATTATGATGTCCAGTTCCCATCACACTCACAAAACTCAGTTTTCAGCTGTGTCTATGATCTAGGCTTCACAACAGTGCAACAGAATCACATTTGTGTCATCCACACATCCCTCCTTGTATAAGCGATGCAAACAAGCCTGGAATTTACGGCAATGCATAAAAGGCTAGCACTGTACCTTGGTGTTTGTATATAAACAGTGTCGACACAAAACTGGCTACAAGGACACTTAAGTGTTTGCTTTACATCCGCCTGTTCCCCAAAATTGACAGACACCCTCCCTCTGAGAAAACCGGAAGTGATGTAAAAATTGCCGCTGAACCGAACAACGTTCTGTCTGGATCCACTGAAAATAGTTCCCCTTAAAATACGTGATTTCTAAACTGGCATGTCACCTCGATATATGTAGTGATCACTGAAGTAGTAGAAGTGATTGATCCACATGTTTCATGATAAAACCTAATAATTGATTTTCACATTAAAACGTTGAAGGGCGCACTGGTGTATTCTTTCGCAGGCGTCCAAAATGGCGACGAATTCTGCAGCTCTGAACGCTGTTGCTTGATACCGTTTCGTGTTCTGAACACTTTCATTCAAGGTACCTGACCCACCAATGATCAAAACAATGTTGTATTATGTGCCATTGATGTTCAAAAGGGATATTGCTGTTGATGACATCAACTGCAGAAGATATTTTGTCTCCTCGTCTGAAAAATGCAGACATTCCAAAATGTGATCTGACATGCTCCATGTCAACCAACACGGGATTCAGCTTAACGGCAGTTGATGTGAATGTAACACGCAAAAGCAATGCAATATTTTGTATTCAATTTGTAGTGATGTTGTTAAATTGAAATACGAATACATTATTTCACGATAAATGTAAATAATGCCATACCAGACATTATTGTAAGCATACTAATCGCCTGTCTGTTTCATGTAGAATGATACACATGCAAGACGCCATTCGAGATCTATCGGTGCGGTCTCTATTTATATGCATGGTAGCCATTTCTCATTAGATACTATTAGACATGTCAGATTGGGATCTACATTTGTGACACTCCGTGATACTTATTGCTAATCATGATACAAGCACTTGTTGAAGCAAGTATTAGTAAAAGGGTACTGCACTTTACTGGGCACTCTTTTCGGATGTCAATAAGTACTGTGAGCAGTGGAGGATCAAACTCGCATTACCAGCTCAAGACTAATGGAAGTTGAAATCCTAGTCAACTCATTCTTTATAACCAAAGCGATTGAGACAGTCTAACTAGCAAACACTTTACCACTACTCACAAATAATGACTGCTCATTTGCCTTGTGATCAGCACCTGATTGATTACCTTTATGCACATGCACGGTAACCCCATTATTACATAAAACGTTTTACATATTTACCTCAAATTACATTGGATTAATTCATTAAGATGGGCGAATCAATGAAGTCACTGATGCCGAAAACCTGATATATTTAGTTGCCTCTTATGATCATGAAATAACCATTTAGATTCCGAGATGTGTTAGGGAAAAATATATGACACTTAGAATCAATTTTCCTTCAGCAAGACTGTGTGTATTACAGAAGCACCATTAATCTTTTATGTATCTACAAGACTCATAACTACTGTTTTTTGTAAGGTTGTGATTCTCAAATTATTTATTGTCTGTGAAAATTTAGTATATATAGTATATGGATGTTAGGTGCAGATGTAACGAGAAAGAAAGGTCTTTAATTAAGAATACTATATCACATTTTAGAGACAAATAAAATGTCATTTATATTTTAAAAGTTTCATTACACAGTATCCCATTCATTCCTTGCTCATAGTCATAGAAGATTTTCTCTGGTATAGACTATCTTCTAGGGTAACCATGGTGAATCTAATGTTCTCATATAATATTATCATGATGTAAATTGACTATAATATAGGGTTTTATGCGGTGCACAAATGTTGAGAATGGACGCAGAAAAAGAAAATACTGCGCCTCAAGGGATGCACATTAATATCCATTGTACCTACAGCGCATCAAGATCAGTTATGGGTGTCTGTCATTTCATCCATCAATCATGGCCACTGTCCACTGGATCCAATACATTCCAGGCTCTAATGTAATTATCAAAACGTACAGTACACTACACCATTTCGTTTTCAACAGAACCCTCATATTGCCAGCTTGGACCCTCAAAGTTCATTGGCACCCCCATTGTTGTAAGTCAAGGGAAAACTCTGAACAATATATACAACAACTTTTTATGTGTAAGTAATTGATTTGTTATTATGTGACAAGAGATCTGTTCACTTTTTGTCGCAAAATGTCAATTGACAGACTCAATGGCTATTAGCATAATATTAATAAGGAGAGACAAAAGTTGTGTTTTGTTGTGAATAGAACGTCTGATTTTAAACATATGTCTTGTATTTCAGCAGCTCTAAGGTTTGAGATTTCCTCAGTGAAAGGTATACCCAGGGTATGACTGGATGAATATGGCAACTGGAGGTATGCCATACTCAAAGAAGGACTCGAAACAGCGAAGTAACTGGCAGAGATCTACCAGCTATTCAGATCGAGATGATGCCCACAGTCTCAATAGTGTTCCAAATGATGTGCGCATTAACAACTGGGTATGTGATATTTGCATATTTATGTTGGTGGTGCTACGATCGAGCCCCAAAGTTCCAGCAGCTTGTGTATTCAAAATGAATATGCGTATGAATAGTATTCAGATGGGTGACACAAGCAATGAATGTACCAGCAGAGACCCTGATGATAATGCATGTCCCTGTCCTTTAAAAAGTTGATCAATGTCTCAGTCTATTCTCCTGTTGTTCATGATGCCTATCAAGATTTTATATCTGCCAGACCTTTTTGGACGTTAAAATGATTTATTTTGTAGGACTTCTCTGATTGGCGACCTAATTCCCAATCTGTAGATGTAAAGCGTCGAAAGAAATCAAAAGGTAATCCTGAACGAGAACGTGAACAGTCACTTTCACTCGACTCCCCACCTCACAGAGAAGGTGAGAAGAAGCAGAGGACGCCGTCTACTTTCCCACGTACAAAGTTTACGCCATCCACACCTACACAACAGAGGGTTGCATTGGAGAATCTACGTCAACAGCTCACGTTTAGCGATTTTGATGATGTAAGTACACAAGACATGCAGATAGACCTCAGACAAGACATGAGGCTGATCCATAACAATGAAGTTCAGAGAATGTTTTCCTCAGTTTGAAGAGGCCAAATAGGAACCGTGTAGTTTGAGCTTATTAAGAATGTCTAAAGTTTATTATGCATATTACAAACACATTGAACATGTTCTTTGTTTCTTGACAATCTTCTGATATAGTGTGCTTTAGGAACCCTGTTTTGTGAATTTATTTTTATTAAGCGTTCTAATCTTGTTGCTTTTGTGTGCTTTGTAGCAATGCAGCACTGATGGTGAACCAAACAATGAAAGAATAATGAACACACGGAAACGACATGGCTCCAACTACTCCCATCCAGAGAGTGGAAGTCGTGGAGATGGCAGTCGTGGTCAAAGTGGGAAGAGCACTGATGCTGCTGCTGCAGCTGGTGGTCACAGGGAGGTGAGGAGCAACAGAAATAACAACAGAGATGATGCAACTACCAGGGATATTGGGGTACGTAAAATGGGCAATGGCATTTCTCCCCAAAAATACACTACCTTGCAGAATATGGCATTAGAGAGAAGCAATAGGTTTTGCAGTCGATATGTATGATGACAATATTTCCAATGGGGTGGGTAGGGTTAAACAATGTTGTAACATGGCATTTCAATAATGCAGGAAACTCGTGAAAACTTTGAGGTACTGAGCATTTTATCACACTATTGTGTTGGAAGTGTTTTATGTCTTAAAGTATGAATATAAGTAATTTGTACATATTTTTGGGGTCACTGTTTTTAAGATGAGTTACCTAATATTAGGGTCAGGTTGTTTCAATGTGTGTTCTGTGTGATTGTCACCATGTCACCATGCTGACAGCGTTGATTGTTCATGCTATCATCATGATCATGACTAGGTTATTTACAGGTCACCATGATGTGCCTTCAATGTTGTTGAATGCATATCATAGTTTATAAAACATTTATTGACTCAAGCACAGGTGTAGTGTCAGATTAATGATTAATAATGGGTGATGATTATGCTTATGGATTGTGAGATCTCCCATTCCAACCATAGTGTTCAACCTTTTACAGTTTGACACATTTGAACCACCAGATTTGTTTGCAGCAATCTGAATCCCATAACCAGAATGAATAAATGTTGGTATTCATGAATAACCATGAAAACAGCTGACTTTTTACGTAATTGATATTAGATACTGAATGGGATGCTCTCTTTCAGCCTGATAGCAACCAAATCGTGGGGCGACTAATGCAGATTCGAGACTACATCAAGCAGGCCAACTCAATGATGGACAACCTGAAGAAGAGAGGGGACCCTGTAAGTTGGAAAACCCATCTCATGAATACAAGTTGACACTGATGAATTTGATGAGAGTATATTTAGAGAGTAAAGAGCTCTGAAGAATAACAAATGATCTGTTTAGGCATACATAATCTGTTGCAAGTAGGTTATTCTATGTATTCCTTGTGTTATCCATATATATGTGAATTTAACAGTAAGAAAAATGTATGTTTGCAGCTCATATGAGATGACAGCTTGGTCAATTTGTTGTTGTAACTAGGTGACAAAAAAATTGAGATGTTATGATGGTGTGGCATTGTTTCCCCAATCATTGAAACAATTTGGAACCACTGGCGTGAATTTGCCAATCAGTTTTTCAGTACTATGTCGCATTTAGATTTATGAAAAAGGTTGTTTTTTCCCATCTCTTGTATAGCAATATGGTGAAAATATTGATATTACATCATCTGCATATGATATGTATTTACAATCGTCTACAAAACTGTTCACATGATCAATAAGGTTGATTACAAGTGTTCGAGGATAGATAGAATTATTAAATTTATCCTAACTCACACTATGCATACCTCATTTGTCGTTTGATCCTAAGTGGAAACATGACTAAACAAAGGTCTACAGCTTCACCTGATCACACCTAGCATCACCTTGGTCGCCTAGCATCACCTTGGTCGCCTAGCATCACCTTGGTCACCTCCCAACAATCTGGGTCATGCACACTTTTCATATCGGTCGACTTACATGTACTGAACACATGATTTCCCCAGCCAACTATTCTCTTTCTAATCGTCATGGTGTAGTGATATGCAAATTGCAAGAGAATCTATTTGGCTTTTTCTTTGTTCATTTTTTTTTCTCTTTATTTCTTCTTCTTTGTCGTTTTTTCATCATGGACGAACAGTCTACTCATCTTCCCTCGTGTCTTACCTGCAGACGGGTCCTCTCTCCAGCCGACCAACACAATGTTTGTTCAGACTGTTGTGGACCCTGTGTCAAATGCATTGACTTGCCTGATGAATCCTTCAGTATTTACCTTCACAAATGTTGGCATCGAGTGCATACGATACTCTCTTAATCTGCTGAAAAAACGACAAACACAAAGAAAACTCTTGAGGAAGTCCCAAAAATCAGCAAAACTATCAACATCTTGGACAATAAGGGAAATGTATAACCCCGCGCTTCCCATATTATCTGCTGACAACGGCAGTGCATCTGGCAGCTTTCTGACAGAAGAACTTTCCGCCTTGACCACTCAGCCCATCACAAAGAATCTACCCTCGTCAGCTATGGTGAACCAAGCTTGGGGTTTGGATGTATGGAAAGTTCTGTCGTATTGGATCCTACCAAACCTGTATTTTTCTGAGTCGGCTGCGATGCCTCTAGCTTCTATGAAGCCTACTCTAGACCCTAATCTTCCTTCATCGCCCATGGCGAGGGTACTCGTATGACACCGCTTAACTGAAGTTCCATTCTCTGTCGAGCTACTATCCCTCTCCTTTATGTGATTCTTCTTCTCCTGATCGTTACAGACACAACCCTCGTAGATCTGCTACTAATAGCAGATGACCTTCCCCAAAAGACATGCATTGCACGCTTTCTTCTACACACCGCTTGGGTTCCCCGTCTCTGCTTCTGGTTTGAAGTCGCCTTCTGTGACTCTACCAGATCATCTGGTGACACTAAATTCTTCCACACAGATACTTCCTACTTCGTGGAATCCTATTGATTTAACCTCCATCCCAGCACAACAACTTCAGTCTCTCCTATAAGCTGGTACGTCAGCATGCCTCCCTCAGTCTGGTCCTCCTAAGGATACAGTAACTTTCGTTCCGGCTTCTCTTCAACCTTATTTCATTGATAGTCGTACCTCCTCCTGTGCCAGTGGATGATTCAATTGATCGTCATGCCTCCCCTGCTTCTTCCTCAGGCAGTTTGAAACTGCAGATCCTTAATTTGGATTCCAGTTTCGAGTACTTCAACCAAACCTTCTGCAACTTCGCCAAATATTACGCTCCCTCCCAGGCCGGTTTTAGGGGATATGGCTACAAATCTGGATAAAGCCTTTGCGTCTTTTCACCAGCTATGCCATCAATTACAGTCTCGTTTTGTGTTTTGATGCTGGCACTCATGGCCTATCAGTTTCTGCTCCTGAATTAGACAGTGACCTAGTGACTTAGCGACGGGCATCTAAACGTCCGTTGTCCTTCTCTATGGTGAACGATAGAGAAGTGCACCTTGACATTACTATTCACCAAACTCTACCCCTGGTCTCCACTATTCTCTCGGCGATGGAGGCTCTTAACACAGTTTTGGATCATGCATCACGCAAGCTTGCTTTCTATGTGTTGATGATCTTATCCAGGACAAGGTTACAGCCATTTTAGATCTTCTTGCTCATCACACAGGGTTAATTGAGTGAAATTCATGCATCAGACGTCAACAGAGTTAGCTTCGATTGTACTTTTCATGGGAAAGTTTTTCTGGGCTTATGATGGAATTTTATTGCCAAAAATCAACTTCCTGGACAACCTGATTGGTTATTTACTATCCCGCCTTTGACGTCAATCTTGAAGACGTATCCTTGTGTCCCACATGTGCGCTTCAGATCTATCTTGTTGCGGCAAAACCTCTTCTGCGTTCCCGTAAGAGACTTTTTATCTCGCTTTCTGCGACAGCTGTTACGGAAGTTTCCCGTACCACAATTTTGGTTTTTCTCCCAACTTATACTTTTGCTGGCCTACCTGCTCCAGTCGCTTCCAACCCTCACGAAACTCATGCTGTTGCCTCTACTGTGGCTTTGCACAGTAATTGTACTTTGGCTGCAATTATGGATGGATATTTCTGGAAATTTGATACAGTATTTGCATCCCACAACCTCAGTGACATATCTGTGACTGAAGTCCAAGTTCTGCATCAATTTGGGCCAATGGTTCTCACACAACAAGTCTCCAGGGCACATCGGTGCAGATAGGGCGAGATGTGTACCCGATCGAGTTTCTTGTACTACGTCTCTCTGTGGATACAATAAACCTTGCCTTGATTCTTTGAGTTTATTATAATATTTCGTGTTTTCCCAGACAGTTTCCCATTGGAGGATACATTCACTCACCTGCAGAGACTTTGGTCTTCATCTGGAAGTCCCTGTCCGGCACGGCCGGGTCCCGGTCCTCTATTCCACTAACCTGTGCTTTGGGCATGTGTTGAGGGGTATTTTGTGGATATGGTTGATTGTTGCTTTTCTCGTCTGAACATATCGATTCAATCCCTGAGGCATGATTGATGGTTTTGATGAAGCAATGCCAAGCTTGCTTGTCCTATTGTCCATGAGAGATAGTGAAAAAAAGCTGGCTTGTCCTATTGTACATGGGAGATAGTGAAAAAAAGCTGGCTTGTCCTATTGTCCATGGGAGATAGTGAAAAAAAGCTGGCTTGTCCTATTGTCCATGGGAGATAGTGATTTCCCTGTCTCGTAGAGTTCATTTTCTGGATTCCATATCCAAATCGATTATGAGTCGTACATTGTAATGTCTGGCTTTACATTTACACTCCTTTACATATTACACATTACACATAACGTGCCCCACTTCATCTGTTCAGGTATGAGGGTCACAACACTCTTTTGGAGTGTTCTTCACTGTCCTCAAGCTTTATGTTATGACACAAGACAGTGTTACTTCATATGGTTCTGTATCACTGGGTTAGTATTAGCAACCCACCTTCCAACCATGGGATAAATGTATACTGTGGATAGGCTAAATATTAATTGTAAAATTATTTTGTAAAATTATTTTTTTAAACTTACTCTATCTCACACACTATATGCCCACCCATTCATCCCCACATCACAAGAACTCTAGCCTATTAGCTCTAGAAAGAGAATGAGTTGGCTCAGGAAATCAAGTTTTCAGGAATGAAAAAAGTGCATGGTGTGAGATAGGGCAGGAAATTGGCACTAGTCCTGTAGTCCTTGCCTAACAGGGGCGGTCGGGTAGCCTAGTGGTTAAAGCACTCGCTCGTCATGCCGAAGACCCGGGTTCGATTCCCGACATGGGTACAATGTGTGAAGCCCATTTCTGGTGTCCCCTGCTGGTATTGCTGGAATATTGCTAAAAGCGGAGCAAAACCATACTCACTCACTCACTCCTTGCTTAACTGCCCAACAGTTAAGGTATCATAAGGACAAGTAGAAATTTGCCATTTTTAAGGGTTTTGCTATATGTTATCATTATGAGGACAAGTGGACCAAAGTTGATATGTATTTGACATATACAATGTATTGTAAAATTTACAATATGTCCAACCTTTTGTTACAACCGACTGTAATCCAAATTATCTCTTTAACCTTTTCACTTGAATGTAAGACAACCATCAAGTACAAACGTAAAGGTAGATGGAGAGGTCTTGTTTTGTTGCAAGCTTTAAAAAGATTCCTTCAAAGAGTTTGTCTTGTTACATTATAGGATGACCTACAGAAAGCCAGTAAATTATCACAGGTGATCTCATCCCTCAAGGAACAAGAGCTTACATCACTGGACAACTTGCAGAAGCTCTGGGTTAGTAGTAAAGTTATAATTGGTTGTGTTCATTTGTTATAGAAATCTTGTAAGGAAGACTTGGAAAAGTTGAAAACCCTTATAGACAATCTGAAAGAGCAGGAACGAGGCTACATGGGCCTGCTTCAGAGGACTCTGGTGAGTAGGGGGGGGTTATAGGGCAAGAGTTCTATTGCAAGTAGATCTACCTTCTTCATCCTTACATATATGACACTTTACCAAAGTTACTGTCTTCCTGAAGAAAACTAAAAAGCATGAAATTATGAAGGGTTTTTTAAAGTTGATTTTGTTTTTATTTTATTTGGCATGAAGTTCTTAGGGTCAGTTGTTGAGTTTGAAAAAATAAATGTTAATTCTGATTAATTGCAGGATGTTAAATAGTTGAACTGACATGTACATGTATACATGTATTTACTTCTGAGGAGGCGTTCTACAAGGTGTTTACAATTGCCAAGAGCCTCCATACAATGCTTTTGATCAATTTGTTATGAACATGTTAAAGTAAGAATATATTTTTTCAGTTTTATCTTGTATGTTGCTGTTTTTTAAGTGTTCAAATAAGAATAAATTTAAACTTCTTTTTTTCTTCCTTCTTTCTTTTTTTTTTTTTTTTTTTTGATTGTGGCTTTTGGCTTTGGTTGGTTGAATTTGAAAACTCAAAAGGTTAAGAAAGTGTCGCCTAACTGTATGAAGTATTATGGGTGACGTATTAGTTAACTGGTTACACTTTTTCAGTATACCTTGATCAAGTTTTCAAATCTAACTGCTGTTTCTGGCTTTGTTCTTTGCCTTTTTGACAATGTTTTAATCATTGCTTATTTTGAGTCCAGAGACCCTTGATCATATGTGAGAAGTTAAATGACATTATCTCAAGATTGACAAATCAATGTGTATATTCATCAATGTTTATAGTCATGAAAGGGGCAGTACGTTAACCCTAAATGTTCTGCAAGAGAAGTTTCTGCTCCAGTGACCACACTGTGGGTGCTTATTATTATTAGTGACCAACTTATTCTGAAAAATGAACACTTTTTGGTGCACTTTCATATTGTTTTGCATAATTATATAGATATGCTACTACAACTGCAACAGTGTGGTGCATGACAAAATAGCTTTACACATCGAATTGACAGTGTCGCTAACTCTGTGTAGGGCTTCTCTGACAGCATGTTGAGCCGTAAACGAATGTAAACAGTTTAGAATATTTTCTCAATGAAAGTTAAACATTTCTTGGCATAAGTTAATCTAAATATGTAGACTCATCAAAAGCAAGTAAAAAACATGCAATATCTTGAATGGACTGTGTTCAATGTAACAATGTGGCACTGGGCTGGTCGCAAGAAACTGTTGGTAGTAGTGTTCTGCAACGAGATTGGCTTCATACGACCAAGGCATTTATATGGTATTCTAGGCTTTGGTCAACGCTGGCTTCTATTCTAATCAAGCTGACAAGAAGCTGGAGCCAGAATCTTCTGAGCAGTGCTTGGGTTGTTGGCTTCACTGTGCACAGCTCTATATTGTTTTGTTTGAGATTTGAATCATGCACTAACTAAAGGTGTGACTTCACACTCGGAAAATATTTCATTCATGATTTAAAAACACCCAGAACAGTTGACATACAGGCTTTTTACCTGTACTGTGTGTAATGCATTTATTGTTCTTTATCTTTAATTTGTTCATTGAATAAGAAGTGAAATGAGAAGGAAATTATCACTTGTAGTGTTAGAAAATGATCAATGTTGGTAATATAAAGCATGCAACCACATACAGGCAATGAGAGATGAGTCTGGGCTGCTGGAGAATGGAGCTGTAGCCAGAGCAGAGGCTGATGGAGGCAACAAGCGGGATTCAGATGATACAGCATCAGTTGATCTGGATGTTGACACGGATGCTTCTGAAACAACTGTAAGTACTTGTGTTATAGACGTAATGGACCTTCTCTGTGGGCTAGTGGCAGAGTGCTGCCCGGAGAGCAGAAGGTCCGCTGTTCGATCCCCGGCCATGTCATACCAAAAGTCGTTAAAAGATGGTACTTGTTATTACTCTGTCTGGCGCTTGGCATTAAGGGGCTAAAACAAGGACTGGTCGGCTCGGAGTCAGTATACTGTGTCTGAGTGGGGTATTCATGTTAAACCGTCGCATGGTATCTCAGAGGGTTAGCACTATAATTGCGGCACTAGTACAAGCAGCCACAGACACACACGTGCATGCACGTTGCTATATAAGTGCAATAATCTTGGACGTGATGTTAAACCCAGTTTCAACTCACCTATAGACATAATGTTGGTAACACACACAACCATGATTTGTTATGGTTAGTGCATTTCGTCGAGGTTGGGGTTAAGTTTTTCGCTGTATTCAGTTTAGTAAGCATGGAAAGTGAGGTGTTTTATTTATCTACGTGTCTTTTATCAATGGTTGACATGAGTTACACTGAGAACAAATAACTGCACTAAGTGTTTTATCTGGAAAATAGTGAGGAAATTTGATCAATCATAGAAATGTTCTGGAGTTTGAGTTAATGGGTAATTTGGTTGATTAAAATATTTGGGGATAATAGCTGATTGTACAAAACAGTTATGTGGTATGGTTTTATCATCCTTTATCAAATCATCTGATAATTAAAACTAACGTACTGGTACTTGTGCTAGTCTAGTTTTTTTAGTTAAGTAACACAGAAGTCTTAATGTTGGTTTTTTGTTGCATTAAGGAGAACACACAGAGTTCCTCATCACGTCCTCGCATTGAAGACAAACTTGGAGCAGATTCTGAGGCAGAGGAGAGTGGTGATTCCAATACTTCTCATGGAGATTCCGATAATATGGATAACACAGTTATTCAAAGTTTGTCTGGACGAAGATCAGACTGGGGTGGTGTTGAGGAGAGTGGCCAACAGGTGGGTGTAGGAAAAGAGCTATTTTAGAACATTATAGAGGCTGCTAAATTATGAACAGTTAAGTGATTGTCTGGTCCAGACTCAGATCTTTTCAGACCGCTGTCCTATAGTTGGAATATTGGTGAGTGCTGCATTAAGCAACAGACTAATTAACCACTGAACAGACTGCTCACATTAGTTTGCAGGCTGTTTGGATCAGCTACAAAGTTACACACATTCACTTACTAATTGCATAAAGAATTATGGGAAGTGATTTTTATTCAGTGGTTGTTTTTCAGATGGATGAGCAGCAAGCTTCTCTTGCCAGACAGGGAGAACTTGAGAGTTTGAGGAGACAAGAAGAGTTGCTCCAAATTCTTGTAGAAAAACAGGATCAGGTAGTTACAGATCAGTTCTATCCCAAATTGCAACTATTTTTCAAAATATATGCTGTGAGCTTATTTTAGAACATCATTTACTATCTACCATCCTTCCCTAAATATGTCATTCTTCTGTCGGGAATATAACAAATATATGACTCATATCTGTTCATGGGATTAAAACATATATTCATGTTTCCCTGGCATGTTTAGGGGTGAAAAAAGTTTTCATATCTTCTCATAAAATACAATACCCAGAAAAACAAAACTTTAAGAGTATGTAAAAGTGAAGATGTTAATTATTTATTTTGAAAAGTAAATAAAATCTCTGTAAGCATGGTAAGAAACTAATAACTCTTAAAGGAGTTTATGAGAAGAAATGGATTTTGAAAATAACCAATGTATGGTTCTTAAAATGTTTTCGGATTGATTTGAATGAGATTTCCTTTTCAGCTGCAACAGTTGCAGGACCGCCAAGAAAGTCTCTTGTCCATGAAGAATAAGTGTGAGAAGAAACTGGCCATGGCACAGGCCAAGGAAAGAGCAAGTTAGTTTGACTTGTCTTTGGATTTGTTTATTGTTCCCATGAGATGTGTGTTGATGTTACAGTATTGGCCAATATCTGATCTCAGGAGGATTGAAATATAGTTTAAGACCAGATAAGGAAACATTCAATTGTTTGTCATTGAGCCTTTGCCAATTAGTCTCTACCAAATTTGCTCACATATTAGCCTTCAATGTTTAAACAAATGTAATTGGAAGGGTCCCTAGGCCTAATGAAAAGACAAAGTAATAATTTGTAGATGTCCTTTTAACCTGTAGATGCATGTTGTTGCAGTTACGGACCCTGGTGCATTTGTAGCAGCTGTGTCTAGTGCTGCTCATCCGGAGGAATCTGAAGCCAAATCTAACATTGTCGGCTACCCTGAGTCAGAGACAGAGGAAGAACCTAGCAATGACCTTCTTCCGAAGGAGCTGCTTGAGCTGCGAAGACATCTAACAGTCCTCAAAAATGAACTAAAGGCAGAGGTGTGTAATGCTGATTGACTGTTGTTCTGAAAATGTAGAAATTAATGTTACTACATTTTGACATAGTGACTGATGCTAAAATGTGATTGTTTATAGGCTCATTATAAGAGACAACTTTCATTTCAGCCCAGTGACAGTGTTGAAGATGCTGAACCATCTATGGTTGCTGTTGGTGAGCAGATCCTCGAGGATAAACTCAGGGACTTGCAAGACAAGAAACAACGAATGGACAGTTTACTTAGAGAACTGCAGGGATTACGATCTCATAGGCTTGATCTGCTTCATGGTAAATGATTTACCAAAAGTGTTTTCCTGTGAACTTAAGTTATTATCCCCCGTTTTGAAAAACGATGGGATATTGTGATCAGCATGTCCATCTGTTTTCCATTTCCAGAGCAGAACTCCTAAACTGTTGAATGTTTCTTGTTGAAACTTGCTATACAGATCAGTCTAGTGGTGAATTGGTGCCTTTTGATGATTTGGGACATTGAAAAATATACTGAACAGCATTATTTTTTCTTCACTTAACTGAAGGTATCCAATGGCAATGAGCCAAACGTTGGGGTATAAGTAGCCATACTCTGTTTCTGAATGCACCAGACCAGGGGGATATGTCATTTCCTTATAAGCCTTTCATATATTATTATCTGGCTAGTAACAAGTTATCCCTGAGGACAAATTATCACCAACCCCCTGTTATAGAGTGCATGTGATAGCATCTCATTTTACTTTTTCTTGTTTTCATTAGAAAAGAGAAGTATATATCCGAATATGATGAACAAAACTGACGTTTGTTGGAAAATATTAAAACCACACCATATAAACACCTTGCTCCAATACAACTTCAGAAAGGACATGCAGGTGGTGTCACTTGACTTCCTCATGTAAACAGCATTATGTGTCAATTCTTAATTTGAACCAATTTGTTAACCCAGAAATCTGTTAATAAACGAACTTAGTATAAAACCAACAAACAAACAATAAGTTATTATGAATGTTTGAATACCTAGCTGAAAAGCTATTAAGAGTGACAATTGTCCATACCTATCGAAATGGATGTAGTTTTTTTGCTTTTCTTTTTGAATTCTTCTTTTTGAATTCTTCTTTTTGAATTCTTCTTTTCACTTGAGTTCTTAACAAAAGTCTTTTCTCTAATAATTGTATTGTGTACTTTTACAGAATCGGATATGACAGAAGGGGCTTCAGAGCAAGTAGCTGTTCCTGAATCCTTGGCTGATGGGCCCGACATTGATCTCAGTACTGTTTCGACTCAGGGTGCGCAGCAGTTGAGAGAAGCACAGGACAAATTGGGGTCAGTTCACACACTTGACAGTTATCGCAGCTTTGGAAAACAAAGTCTACTGTTTACAGTCATGATGAACCAAACATATTGATGGTTAATGAATTATGGAGCCTCTGTGGGGCATCATGATTATCATTTCTACTTTTAACATTTCAGTAAATTGCGCGAAGTTCGTGAGAGGCTGAACCAGCTGCGAGATTTGGTGTCCTATTACCAGACAGTGAAGGGTGAAGGTGACATGGGAGCAGGTGGTGAAGGTGCAGAGCAGTCTTCAGCAACAGCATACAGTGACTATGGTGCCGACATGGACCCACAAGCTATGCTGCAACAGTAAGTTGGTGACATCTCACTCAGTTATTATTCCCCATGGGAGATAAGGTCTTCAGTAACCCATGTTTATTGTAAGAGCCAACCAGTGATGGTTACAATGTGTGACCTAGAGGTGTACAGTATAACTGATGCTATAGTGGCATGATTTTCCATACTACCTTGTCATTAGTTACATATCCAACTTTTACATGCCACTCAAAGATTCAAATGAGATGTCTTTATTACAAAGGGGTCAAATGTAGGCAGTAAGGTTTAATGAAATAAAAGAAATGGTTTTCCAGCAATGTTTTGGTTTTTTTTAAATATAGTGCGGGCAGTGTTTTGGTTTTTCTTTTCAGAGAAAAGTAACTAGTATGTTACCAAATAAACAGTTGTGTAACCAAATAAACAGTTGTGTATCATCAACCTGGGAAAGGGCCTCCCTACATCAATGTATTCCTTGAGTAAAATACTGTAATACAGTATTTGACTACCATGGACTTGGCTTTTTTAAAAAGGTTTCTTTAAAATGGAAATAAAAACGAAACGTGCCTGAGAACCAAGACTATTTTATTTCTTTAGCCTAATGGACTCCCAGAAAATTTGGAACCCAGACCATCTTTATCTGTTCACATTCTCAAGTCTGTATTGCCAGATTGCTACTGTTGTCTCTGTGATGAACATTACTGGTTATAATGTTTTGGTAAGATGATAATATGTCCTATATGCCACCTGTGTCTGTTGTGATAGACTGCTGCAGCAAGTTGGTCATGAAAGAGGTGACCGAGGTGGCCGAGCTTTGACAACAGATGCAGCAGGTGTGTTTGGAGCTGGTCAGACCCTTGTCAACCTGCCTCCAGGACCAGCTCTAGAGGAACACTCAGATGAAGAGAATGCATCCGATTCAGAGTCAAACAAGGAATCTCAGTTGTCCAGTCTTGGGCCATGGGGGGATGACCCTGAAATACAGGAAAAAGTTCAGTAAGTGTAGCTGACATTTCACATAATGTTTTTATTGATTTGTTGTGACAACAGGCATATAAATGTTAGCTGTTAGTGCTAGACCCATGGGCAGGGACTTCATGGTCGTCTTGTAAATGTGAACATTTGTCAAGTCTGTGAGAATGCCGATGTATCACAGAGTTATCTCCCTTAACTGTGGTATCTATTGATTGTGGTTTCTGGGTAATCAGCACTATATTACATTAAGTAATACGTTACCACTGTTATACCGAGGCTGTTGTCTCCCACAACTGCTGCTATAGCGAAATCTACCACAGAGATCTCAATTACCTCATGCAGCACGTGCGTAGCCACCTAGCTGCCATGTGACACCCTTCACTCTTGTCTCTTCGCTTGCTCTAGCAAGACATACAATAAACTGCTCAAGCGTTCCTGTTTCTCCGACCATTCGGTGATATTTATGACTGTTTATTCTCTCTAATAAACTGTGCTTTTACGGGGCGTTTGCTGTAAGTACGCTTGGAAATATTTTTCCCGCCAAAAGGAAATATTTTTCCCGCCCTTTTTTTTCTATATACTTGCGGGGTGTCTCGTATGCACGTTGCGTCTTACGTTCCCCTGTTCTAGTATATCTTGGGGTTTTTACATCACTTATTCCTCTATATGTTATATGTGTATGTTCTATATTCCCATTGCTTGTTTATTTTCTTGTGAAAATACTCGTTTGTGACTATTTGTGGTGCGTGTGTTCTAACCATGTTTTGCTCTTTGTTCATAGTACAAACAAAATGTCTGACATGGATGTTTCGCCGTCCTCCACCCCCTCTACCCCCGCAACCAGGAGCTGCGGGGTGTGCCGCAAGCGAGCGCTACCGGCTGTATGTGCAGTCCGTTTCCACCCCTGTGGTGGCCGGCTCGTCCGGTCGGGGTCCCCTTGCGGGTACCACCACCACGGCTGCGGCGGATCCCTTGGCGGCCCGTGGGCTGTCCGGGGATTCCGTCACTGCATTACTAGCATAACTTGTGGACTCCAGGCTGGCGGCCTTATCTCAGGATAGGCCGCTGGCTGTTCCGTCCCCGGCCACCGGTACGGCGGCGGCTCCCGTGGTCACCGGTCCTTCCCCTGAACCGTTGCTCCCGCTATCGGTTAAGGACCGCGTGGCCATGGTTTATGACCTCTTTGAGGACATGCCCCGGCCGGTACCGCGGGGAATCCACGACCGTGGGTTCCTCCGAGGTATACGATGAGTCTTCCGACACGGCTTTCCCCGCATCAACCTTGCTGCGCGGTATCAAGACTTCCTTGGAGAACGCCTTCACGGCGGCCTCCGGTCGAGGTCTCCCGTTGCCTCCGACGTCGTGGAGAAAGGGTTTATTCCCGGTACATGACCTTGCCTTTCCCGAGGCTGGTCCTACCGCGGAGGCCCATGTTGAGCGGTTGGGTGTCCGTGCCCCACCGGCTGCTACGGTAACGCAAGCTACCTTGCACCAGCTGGACGCCCTCGCTCGGCACTCCATGTCTCACGGAGACACTTACTTGGCTGCAACGGCCAGTCTGGTCGAAGGTTCTCCCACGGACCATGACCAGCGCATTTACAACTGCCTGCTCAGTTTAAATGCTTCCCTGGAGTACGTTGCCGAGGACTCTCGGCACACACTTGCTCTTGTTGGGTCCCTGCATAGGCGCCTGGGTGCCGCTCCTAACCGGAGCGCGCCCCAGGCTGCTGCGACCAGTAGGTCTAAGGGGTCGGGTTCTTCTTCCTCTGGGAAGTAGCCCCGCCCTGAGGGCTCCGGTATGGGCAATCAGCTGCCCTTTCGCGGGGAACTGGGGGAAGCCCAAGTCGTCTAAGGACGGCAAGGGCCCCTCCAGGTGACTCTCATTGGAGGGGTTCGTATGCCGACAGCGCCAACTTCGGTTGGCCCTTAGGCGAACCCGAGTCACTTGGCCCTGGACAGTTGCGCCTGCCGCAGCCTGTCAGGGCCCCCTCTCCTTCCCCAGTGGGAGCCAGACTCCAGACTTACTGGGAGAATTGGGAACAAGTGTTCGACGACCCGTGGGTGGTCAACACAATTCGGTACGGCTATCGGCTTGATCTCAAAGCGAATCCGCCGCTCACCGTTGCCCCGTTGGCAGGTTTCGATTCGGAAACCGATCTTCCCATCCTCGCCGATGCCATCGGCAGGTTGGTGGAGAAGGGGCAGTACGGGAGTTAGCTCTACCAGAAATAACACCGGGGTTTTACTCCAGGATATTTCTCGTTCCCAAGTAGGACAGTGCCAAACTCAGAATGATTCACACGTCCGCTCCCTGGCTGTTCACCCGGTTAACCACCCCCATAGTGGGGTTCCTCCACAGGAGGGGTGTCCGGTACTTCGCGTACCTGGACGACTCGCTAGTAGCAAATCGAATGACGGACACCCTGTCACGCCATCTCGTTTTCGCACGTCGGCTCTTGGAGCAATTGGGGTGGATTATCAATCTCCCAAAGAGCGAGTTAACCCCTTCTCAGAACTTGCTGTTCATTGGAGGTCGGTTCAACACGGTGTCCCATCGCCTCTTTGTCCCCAAGAACGGTGGCACAAGATTCAGGCGATGATTGCCAAAGTCTTAGCGGTGCAACAGACTGTTCACTTTTGGGAACAGCTGTTAGGGCTACTTGTATCAGCCCAGGACTGCACCGAACGGGGTCGTCTCCAACTTTGCCCGCTGCAACGGTTTTTAATCCAGTTGTTAGCAACGGAGGTGAACAGTGCGACCGTCGCCCTCCCGGATCGGCTCCGACCGCATCTGGAGTGGTGGACGGTCCCTTACAATGTCTTATCAGGAGTCTCTATGCGGCCCTACCGGGCCACGTTGAACCTGTATACAGACGCCTCTCTAGTGGGCTGGGGCGCCCATCTAGAGGGGGAGGTGAGCTCGGGCTGTGGTGCGTAGACGAACTAGGTCTTCACATCCGTTGTCTCGAGTTCAAGGCAGTGATCAACGCAGTCAATCACTGGAAGCATCGTCTCGTCGACGCCCGGCTCATGCTGGCGACCGACAACACGTCGGTTGTGTCCTATGTGAACAAACTTGGGGGAACCCACAGTCACTCGCTACTCGATCTCACGTTCGAGTTTTACGCTCTGGTGGACAGTGTCCCGTGCCAGATATGTGCCCGTCACATCCCAGGTGTGCGGAACGTACTGGCCGATGCTCTATCGAGGCCTCAGGATCCGAGCCCCACAGAGTGGATGCTGAACCCAGTAGTGTTTCAGTGGCTTTGCGAACGTTTGGGTCGTCCGATGGTCGACCTGTTCGCAACGTGGTTCAACAATCAACTCCCGTTGTTTGTATCACCAGTCCCGGACCCGAGGGCCATCGATCACGATGCTCTCGCGTTAGACTGGACGGGCTTGGACGCTTATGCTTACCCGCCGACAGCGTTGATACCACACATTCTAAGCCGGCTCCGAGGAGTTCGCTGTCGAATGTTACTGATCGCGCCCATGTGGCCGAACAGATCGTGGTACCCCGACTTGCTGACCCAGGTCACGCAGTCGCCACTTCCACTGCCTGTGAGACCGGATCTCTTGATCCACCCTCACACCCGTCAGCTTCATCCAAACGCAGGGCAGTTCAATCTGCACTCGTGGATGTTGTCACCGAGCGTCTGAGGAGTAAAGGTTTTTCTCGCAGGGCGTCTCGGGCATACGTTAGTATGCATCGTGATTCTACCCAGAAGGTGTATAATGCACGTTGGGTTATTTTCACGAAGTGGTGTTGTAAACATCACATTCATTCGCCAGATAAGGTATCTGTGCAGGATATTGCTCATTTCATGTCTCACTTGCGAGAGACCCGGAAACTCTCCGGGGGTTCCATTGCCAACTATATCTCGTCCGTTGCTACGGTACGGGACGTTGCTATGGGTACCAGTCTCTCCAAAGAGCCGCTGATACGGGGTATTATCAAGGGTTTCAAACAGCACGATCTTAAGAAGGGCCGCCTTCGGGCAGGGGGCTTGGGATCTTTCACTATAGTGTTGCAATCACTTACGGAAGCTCCGTATGAACCCTTGCATAGTGCTTCGTTCCGGCATGTGACTTGGAAACAGCATTTCTCCTCTCCTTTGCCACGGCGGCACGTGTATCCGAAATTCATGCACTCGATGTCGCCAAGGTACGATTCGATAGGGGTGATGAAGGAGCGGTCCGCCTGGGCCTGCTCATGGGCTTCGTCTCCAAGAATCAGAGAGTCGGGCAAACGGAGAGAGAATTCACTGTAAGATCACTCAAAGAAATCTTACATCCTGCTGATACTGAGGACAGAGCGCTGTGTCCGGTTAGGGCCCTTAAGTATTATCTTAAGGCTTCGAATGAACGTAGACAAGGGCGTGACCGTCTGTTCATATCGTGTAACCCTAATCGCACGGTTGACATAACTCGCAACTCGATTGTGTTGTGGCTTCGTTCTGTCATCAATCTGGCGTACCGGTCTCGGGGGTTACCGGTAGCGGGGTCAAACCCGCACGAGATCAGGGCGCTAGCGGCAACTTTTGCCCTACACTCGAATATCTCTGTTCGCAGAATATTATGAGGTTGTTACTGGCGTTCTGACTCGGTTTTTGCCAATCATTACCTCAAACAGGTCGCTGATGCCGTCGTGGAGAGTGTGCACCGTCTTGGCCCGCGGATCGCGGCGCAAGCAGGCACCTAAGGGGTGTGCCCAGCGCAATTCCGAACTCCTCAGGCGTCAGACCTTGCACGGTGGTCAATCTGGGTCGACTCCAATGTTCCCACTGCCGTGGGTTCAGGAGTTGGGGTCCCGCAAACCAGCGCACTCACACCACAGGTGAGGGCGGCTTTTTGTGTGCTTTGTCCTTATTTGTATTTTGACAATTATGTCTTTAATTGTCTGTCGTGTATCCCAACCTTGTGATGCATGCTTACAAATACTGGAATTAGGTCACGCGCCTAATGCATACTTTAAGTAGGCTTGCTCTGGGATATACGGTCTGAATGAAATTAATTTCCCTCTTTTCGACTGTTTAACCTGATCTAAGATTAAGCTCACGCGGATACAGTGTTCTCATCCGCTGCGGCGATGAAATACCTATCCAGTGGGGCCGTTTGGAGTCACCAATCGTTTTGGCAATGACGATTGAGCCTTACGGTATGCGCTTGACAGTGCTTTGGTATTCCTATAGGGTAACGCCTAGCTAGGTGCATGCGCATCGAGTGCTTCCGCCTTGGTGTTTTACTTCCGCTGGTCGGAAGGAACGCTAGCAGTCAGGATTCGGGTTGTAGGTGCTCCCCACCGCCTACTGTGGTAGCCAGCCTCGGTATAACAGTGGTAACGTATTACTTAATGTAATTTGTAGAATTTTCCTATTCGGAATATTCTATAAGTAATACGTTACCACTGGGCTGCTGCCCGCCCGTCCGTCCCCCGAGCACTTGCTCTCGCAAGAGACAAGAGTGAAGGGTGTCACATGCAGCTAGGTGGCTACGCACGTGCTGCATGAGGTAATTGAGATCTCTGTGGTAGATTTCGCTATAGCAGCAGTTGTGGGAGACAACAGCCTCGGTATAACAGTGGTAACGTATTACTTATAGAATATTCCGAATAGGAAAATTCTACAATTATCTCACCTTACATTAAAATACCAGCTTCTGATTGGTTAAGGAGCAGGCAGTTATTTTCCATGTAGCCTGTTCATGTAGTCTCCTGAGGAATCCATAGGAGCACACATCTTAGGTAACTTGCATATCTCGAATAAGCATTGCTGAGTTGAAGAGAACTGGAGTAATTCGGTTCACTTGTGTCGTCTGCTATGAGTTTTTCTAACTCATTGAAACTGCAAACATATATTCAAGACCAGTATGAATAAATGTCAGTAAGATAAATTGAATTGACAACTTACAATGTGCACTAAGTAGCAGAAAAGATTGCTTCTTATGGGCAGCAATTATATGGACTTTGTTTTGCTGACAACCTTTACTCCTCACACAGCCATCACTAGTTACTTATGTTAATGCATTCAACTGTTCCACTTTTCATGGGATATTAAATACAGTTTTTACATATATATGCCCCATGACGATTGCAGGTTAGAACAGATCCCCAACAACCTATGGTAGTCGTCAGGGGCAACCAAATGGATTGGGTGACTTTTTATATTATCATCATACTCCAGTGGTGTGAATCACTAAATTGTCTGGTTCAGACTCAATTGTTTACAGGTTGTCATATTGCTGAGTGCGGCATTAAATCTGAAATACTGTTCAATGTGGCATTAAATCCAACTCACTCTTAAGATTGATGCAGGTGGAATAAATAAGCCATGAAAAAAATGCTTGAAGCTTGTAATGTCAGTGAAATGTACTTTTTTAATGTTTAGTCTTCTTAGATCTGTGTGAGTCCTATACTATACTATATGCTATACATGTATTTAATCTTAAGTACCTATTTACATGTATTGTAAAATAAATATGATGCTCATAATTGATAATCTTGTGTCCAGGAAGCTACGTGCTGCTAAAGAGAAACTGCGTCAGCTGCAAGATATTGTAGCAATGGTGCAGCAGTCTCCCAGTGGTGCCGCAGATATACCAAACACCGTGATGGAGTTGGCTGCCAGTGAAGAAGGCGAAGTCATCTCCCAAGTTGCTCAGATGAACGACCATAACATGTCTGTCAGTGAAGGAGAGATCCCAACACAGGACAAACACTCACAGTAAGTAACTTCCCGGTTTGGTTTTGATATTTCATGTTGTAAGTATATTACCTGAATGAAAGTCTGCATCAGAGAGCTTTGTTTAAAATATTTATGGTACCTGCATGTGACAATGGGTGGGGGTAAGACATTGTGTAAGAATGTCAGTTTTGCATTTCAGTAGTTAATCTAAGGTTTGTCATGACCTTCAAAACTCAAATAACAAAAACTGATACCAACAGTATAGGAATTTTGAAGTTATGTTCATGCTTGTCTGTTTCTCTCAGCCGTGAATTGTGTGAAGCCCATTCTTGATATCCCCCAATGAATATTGTCAAAAGCAGTGTTAAATATACAAACTTGTTTGCTCGGTTGTGGCTTAGAGCTTATTCTGAATGTTTATTTTAGAAGAGAAGAAGCAAGACAACTGTCTACAATTGAGCAGCAGAGAGAGGAACTGCTGGGTTTGCGTGAGGAGCGAGAGAGACTGATGGCTGTCCACTCAGCACTTCAGAGTCTCCAGGAGCAGTTCCAGTTGGCGGTGTGTATTGTGTAACACCTGTTGATCAATGTCCAAGTCTCACAAGGACACTAAAAGGCTTTCATTTTTGCAGTAAGGTCTTGAAAGGTCATCAATTTGAATCTGCCTTGAAAAGGCCTATTTAGCAACCATATATTACACATGTTTTTCTCTCATTATGCATGATGACATTATGTTGCAAAAGAGTTCTGTAAGTTGTTATTGAATATTATAACACTGGTATGTCTTAATAGTGTAATTGGATGTATAATTAATAGTGTATGAATGTCCTAATAATCTGTTTGAAAACAAATCAGTCATACTTGAACCCTTGAGTAGTGTGTGTGTGTGTGAGATCTTTGCCTTGAAAGGACCTTCAGTTTACCAAGAATGTTCATCCTCTTGAAATATGTTCTGTTTAGGAAACTATGTTGAATGGCTTTGGTCACAAACAGCTTATATGTTCAGGAAAACGAGGAACCAGATGCCAAGAGACAGGGTAAAGATGGTCGAGGAGCAGGTCCATCAGGCAGTGCACCAATGGTTACCTGTAAGTTAGTTATAACACGACAGAGGAGAGCATGTATCTATATGTATTGATGTGTTTTCTGGGGATAAATGCAAAGAAAGAACTGACAATACTTATGTGAGTTATTTTTGAAGACCTTGATTTGTCTTGTATGGTATCCAACCTGATTATGATCTTTGGTTCATCAGCTACATTCCCATGCTCATGGGTTTCGCCTATGGTAAACATCTATCAACATCATTACTTAAGACTTTCCTCTTAAATTAAGCTGGGTACTATGATATAATTATGTGATATCGTATAACTGCAATGCTGTTCCTGGTGACTCAATTCACTGATTTGTAATCATGACACTGTGGAAGATTAATGATTGCACTGGTAAATACAAAGTTTAGTATCTGCTTTTTATTTAAGTTGCCTCAAATGATGAGCTGTACAGCAAAATGAGAAAACAAAGAATCCTGCGAGAGGAACTGAGACAAAAGAAAAAGGAGTTGGAGGCAATTATGAGGAAGGATAGGAACAAGAAACAGTACTTCCGCAATCAGGATAACCATAGTGATACAGTCTCTTACTCAACTGATGCATTTGCGTGAGTTAACCACCCACTTTCTATGTTTTGTGTATTCCTACAGAAAAACTTGCTTTGTAAAAGTTTGTAGTTGATTACCTTATCTTTTCTGACAGTTTCGTGTATGTATGAAATAGCCAGAAGCCTAATACACTGTGTGTTTACTTGTGTTAATAGTATTTCTTTCAATTCAGTGCCAGTGCCAGTGCTGATGCCACAATGGCAACATGGGGTGGTTCAACTGTAGATAATCTAGGAAGCATCACAGAGGATGAAGATGGCAATGACCCAGAGGCTGGACAGGAGGATGATGATGGTGAGATCTCTATTCTAACTCCTCTGACGGTAAATTGATGGATTGCTGTCGGTGGTCTGTGTCTGTTTTTTGAAATATTGCAGTATTGTCTCAAAGTATGTGCTTGATATGATGTATTGATGCGTGGATGTTGTTTCTGAAGTTGAATATGTTATTGTGCCCAGGATACCCAAGTGATGGCATAGTGCAGGTTGAGGAGGAAGAAGAGGAGAATGACTCTGATGGAACCTACACTATTGAAGATGATGCCAGACAAAGGAGGTCTGAGAGATCCCATCACTCTAAACAGCAGAGTGCTCGTCCGAAGCTGACAAAGGCATCCGTCATTGCAGCAGGAGGAGGACATGGTTGTCCCAGACCAATGAGGAAACAAGAAGGTAAGGGTCAGAATGACTTTACCACCTGGATTATAGTTCAATTGTGGTACTTTGTCATCTTCAAGACCTGATAATCTGAAAGTTCAGGGCAGTTTTAATCCCAACATACTCACTGGTATTCCTTATTGTTCATAGGTTTCTGTTCAACTTGAATGACTCATTCCTTTCAGAATCTGTACGACCAAAACAAGCAACACGAGTGCAGAAGAAAAAGGGCAAACTTGGAAAGAGAGATGTTCGAGTCAAACAAGAAGTGAGTTCCTGAATTTCACATTTTACATATGATATTATTTTGCATGAAAGTTTCTTTGATATTTCTTCATAAGGTATTAATCTATTTGCATCATATGTACAAAACCTTCAGCTGTAAGTAGCAAGGTACCTGGCATAATCATAATTATATCTGTCTTTCCCCCAAACCCAGACATATTATTTTTGGCTTAGTTCCCCTCGTCATCAGTGTTTCCTTCCTATTCCAAGCCATGACATGAAAATTGCTCATCAGCTTAACTGCTGCCCTATACTGTTTTGAAATTTGTCATCTTTTATTTTTTTTATGGAAATAATTTCGACTTAGTCTCAAACAAGGGTAGGGGCCATAACTTAAAAATCGTTCAAGAGTTTTCTACTAAATTGCACATGTACATTGCTCATCGGCTTCACTGGTGCCTTTTGCTATTTTGAAATTTTCTAAATTTTATTTTATTATGTTTCAAAGGAAACAATTTTGACTTAGTCTCAAACAACTCTAGACTTTATTTTCAAGCCTTAACTCTCAAACTAATAAATATTTTTGCATGAAACTATACATGTGCAATGACCATATGCCCAACTATTACCTTTTCATATTTTTAATTTTTTACATTTTTTTAATTTGGTTTCATGGAAATAATTTGGATTAAGTCTCAAACAAGTAGCGTTTCTTTTCTGCCAAAACTGTACAGTTAATGAATATTTTCTGCAATTATCTTTCTAGGCTATGATTTGCTATTATTGTTGTTCGGATTTGCAACACATTTTCAGTAACAACTTGAACTAATGTATCAACAAAAAGGAAGGGGGAGACATGTTTTTTAATATAAACACATTCTAGTATTAAAGTTAATTTACTTTTTAAGTCGGGGTGTTATGCTGTAAATTTTAGAATTACCGGTCAGCTGAGGAGATTGTTCAGGAGGAGGAGCAGAGTGGTCAGAGTCTGGGGATGCTGCAACAGCAGCTGGAGCGAACATCTCAGATGTGTCAGGCTCTTCTCCTGGACCAACAATCTGCCAGCCCCTCACAGGGAATGATGTCGCCATCAGGTATTTGAAAGTGCAAGATAATGTCTCACATAAGATATCATGGTTTAAGTAAGGATAGACCCATGTTATGATCATTCACTTATCAGGCCTTCTTCCACAAAACAACCTTAGTGCTATGACTGTTGAAAGTCCCATACCGTAACAAATTTGCGATAGTGGAAGTGCTAAGGTCACTTAGGGAACGACAAAGCCATCAGCGCTATGATGGTCATACCTCAAATAATTTAACATAGACTTACGACAGTCATTGAGCTAACTTTTCTGGAACGGACCCTCACATTTGGGAATTTCCAGAGCACAATTTGAAAACCGTGAAATAAATTTCATCCAAACTTGGTACATGTATTAACCATTTTTCACTGTTTCTATCGAAATAAAGTTGACGTTTCCCGGGCAGAACTAAAATACTATTAAACATTTTTCATCCAAAATTGGTAGATATATTAATCAGGTGCTAAACTGGTGCCTTTTGCTAATTTAGGAATCTTAATATATTTTTTTTTACAAAATTCCTCTTTCTGCGGCAGCAAGTTTGACTTTGACTCTGTTCATCGTGATGTTTGCCAGAAATAGAAATACGTAGTTCCAAATCCCAATTCCATGGTATTGTTTCTTGTATATGGACAGACAGATTTGAAAGAAATTCTCTCATCAAGTTGAACTTAAAGTAACAGTCAGATGATTTGTTCTTTCAAATTTGTTGGGCCTGGGGGGATTTGTCATCTTCTGATGACAAGCTATTGGTTAAAGCATTACATATGTGACATTGACCCAACATTCACCTTTACCTCTTCAGGTTTTTCTGTACCTATGCGTGGAGGGAACCTCATGCCTGACATGTTACAACAGCAAATCCAACAACAGCAGCTGATGCTGTGCCTGAACCAGTGCTACCAACAGTTGGGAGTACAGCAGGTGGAGATGCAGAACATCCAGCAACAACTACAAGGTCTTACCCTCCAGGTGACCGATTCCTGCCCCCAGTCTAACCAGCCTGTCAACGATGGACAGGAAAACCAGCGACCAAGCCCGTCACAGACATCACGACTCACTACACCAATGACCACTTCATTTTCAACCATTCCAAATAGCACTGCCAGCATCAATATGCATTCTTCCCGACAGACAACATTCACCCTCAACCCTCACTTTCCCTCGAACTTCTCCTTCACGCGCCATCCTGGGGGCAGACAAGCCAACTACTACAATGAGGAACGGAAATCACATAGTCCACAAACTGATATGAGGCCCAGTGATCGCCAGAGTACCAGCAGTGAAACTCACTTCAACAACTTGCGTCCTGTCCCTCCACCGAGGATTGACTCGTACCTACAGTCAGAGGATAGATCCTACTTGAACCAGCAACAGAACAACTATCTCAGCACTGGACGCAAAGACAAAAACACAGATGCGTCCAAAGCTCCCAGACTCAACTTACAAGATATGCTCAACTCCCGCAAAGTGTAAGTAATTTGCAGTCATTCATATTTCATTTGTGCGCTTTGTACACTGTAGATATCGCTGCAAGGAAATGACATCACAATGCTTTGCAGACCATTGTGACATCACTGGTTACCATGACGTCACAATCAAATGACATCACTAATGGCTCTGCTACTGAAGCTGTTAGCAGTACTTTTTACACTGAAGACACTGCTAATTACTGTCTACAAATTGAAAAGTTGGAAGAATGATGTTGGATGATAAATAAAATCTCACCCTCGTGTCTTTTGATATCAAATATATCAACATTCGTTGATAAAAGTGGCAAAAATCCTCGGCAAGCCTCGGAATTTTTCCACTTTTATCAACTCGTGTTGATATATTTGATATCAAAAGACACATTTGGGTGAAATTCTCTATATATCATTTTGTTTAATATGTTTTCCATTATTTGCAGAAAACAACATGCAACGCAAGGACAGTCCACAGGAGTGTTTGAAACAGGTAATTACAAAGGTGACAATATTCCACAAATCTGAGGAATTCAGTGAACAGCTGTAAACTGTCCAATCAGTTTTACCTCAAGCTTTGCTAGCGTTAATCTAGTCATTGTCAAACCTGAAATTAAGCTCTTAATGAGCTGTCAACACCCAGATTTATGAGTGTTGTTATTACTCATATCAAAGAACAAAGAGTCTTGGAAGAGTACTAGTTTACTTAAATGAGGATCAGGTGATCAGGTTGTATAATCCTGCTGACAGTTAGTCATTGCTCGGAGATTGTATGGATCATTGTGCTGTCAACCACTTACTTGATAATTCACAGGCTTCTGTGATATATCTGGAATATTATTCTCTTGGAAGTAAAACCTGATTCACTCTCTACCAAAGTGTCAAAGTTCGGCTTTGCTGTTTGTCTATTCCATAGTACTGTTTACAGTTGACGGTATGCATCGCTATTCTTCACCCAATCAAACTGCTGGCACTGCTGATCGTCTAGGGAGCAAGTACCGGCCAGGTTTGAGTGCTGGCATCAGTGGTGCAGGGTTCCATGACAACACTAGTCTCTCCAGCATTTTGTCCACTCGCATGTCAGATGCTGGACAATCAAGGAATACAAGGTATCTTGTGGGAATAATGATGCAGTTCTACATTGATGTTTATACTGGGAAAAGCCCTTAGGGATTCCAGGTTACAATAGGTCCCCAACAACCTCAGGACCCCTTGACTTTAATGCTTCATTTCGAACACGGAACATTATGTTTGCGAAACTATCCATGAGTAGTATATATGTTTAAAAACAACTTCCTCTTTCAGATGGGTCAGAAATTATTCTTTGTTTTCTCAAGTCAACAAAAGTTGTCATTTATGTTTTATCCCCTTATAATGCATATAATGCAGGAGAATATAGTCATCATCTGGTCTGTCTGTCAGTTAGTCTGTCCATTCATAGTGGTGTGTTTGTCCAGACCATATCTTTAAAACTAATAGATATTCTTTCATGAAACTTTGCACACACAAAGACAAGGTTGTCAATTGGTGCCTTTTGCTATATAGGGATTTTTATCATTTGTCATTTTTCTGTTTCCATACAACAAGTTTGTGAATTTGAATCTGTTCATAGTGGTGTGTTTGTCTGGACCAAATCTTTAACACTGATAGGTATTCTTTCATGAAACCTTGCACACACCAAAAAGAGGTTGTCAATTGGTGCCTTTTGCTGTTTAGGGATTTTTAGAATTTATGTTTCTTCTGTTTCCATGACAACAAGTTTGACTTTGTTCATATTGGTGTGCACCTGACATAGAAATACAAAGTTCCAAATCCTAATTCCATGATATTGATTTGATAGCTCAGTAACTTCTCTTGTATACGTACAGACAGATCTAGGTAGAAATTCTCTCATTAAGTTGAACTTACTGTAACAGTCAGATGATTTGTTTGTTTGAATCTATTGGGGGCTGGGGGATTTGTCATCTGTTGATGACTCTCGTATGGTAAAAGTGGTAATCCTTATTCCTTCCTGAATTTTTAAAGTCTTGGACTTATGTTAATTTTGAACACTTGGGTCTACTGACTGTTACTGTTAGTTCAGTCAAGCCAAATGATCAGAACAATCTTTTCCAGGGATGGGGATGCTGGTGGTGATCTATCACTGTTTGAAGCACTGAGGGAAACCATCTACTCGGAGGTAGCAACCCTTATCTCCCAGAATGAGAGCAGACCACACTTCCTTATCGAGTTATTCCGCATCCTACAGGTGCTTAACTCGGACTACCTGCGACAACGTGGCCTCTATGCTATACAGGATCTTGTGTCTAAGACACTTACAGAAGAAAACAGTGACTCTTATGCTGCGGTAAATATCAACATTTAAAAATAGTGTAGTTTATGGTTGAGGTGAAATAGGGTTTACCGTCGCGTCAAAGATTATTGCACTTATATTGCGACGTGTGTGCTTGGGTGGCTGCTACTCTACCGGACTGATGCCAATTTTAAAGTGCTAGCCCACCGAGATACTATGTCATAGTTTAACATGAATACCGTGCGTGCGTCCATGCGTGGACTTGCCGGTTGTATAGTGCTAGCCTACTGAGATACCATGCTGCTTTTTAACACAGATACCTCATTCAAACACAGTTTACTAACTCTATGGAAAACCAGTCCTTGTTTGACCCCCATAATGCCGAGCGCCAGACTGGGTTAAAACAAGTACCATATTTTAACATCTTTTGGTATGAAGCAGCAGGGGATCGAACCCCGGGCCTTTCACTCTCTGGGCGGACACTCTACCTCTAGACACTGAAGCGGTCAGTGTAGTTTATGACTCATCACAGTTGTGTATTCATTTGCCAAGTTTATAGTATTTCTTGACTTTGACTTTGACTTAGGAGTAATGATTATCTTGACAGAGGTAAATTTTTATCTTCACATATAGACAATTTATGGACATCGATGTATTTATAGCCACCACCACCATGGTTGACAGCCACAGCAGGAAATTGTACACCTTCAGAACTGACTCCCAGCGAAAGTCTTGCCACTTCAGATGATGAAGACGTTAAGGTTAGTACAAAAAATTAAAAATAACACTTTCAAAATTGCAGTATAATTTGTGGTTTTTCTATGGTACCTGCATAACTTGGGACTTGGAACATCAAAACCGCTCTTGTTATTAATGAGATACTCTTTACTACTAATATCAGTGTTACATGCTTCATTCTGTAGCATAGAGCTACTGATATTTCCTCCTCCGATTGTCTTAGCTAGACATTAAAAGGCATTGCACAGAATTATTCTGTCTGATGTGGAAAGAGTTTGGATCTATCAGTTGGACAATATTGTTCTGTTTTGCGCTATGATTACTGATGATTTCAAAAGTTAATCCATTTGATATCCTGAGTTGCAGGAATCATGACTCCTATGTTATTTGAGTCATTTGGGTATGTTCTATTTTCATTAGGCACGACTCCGAGAACGTGTTGCTATGGTTCAGAGAAGCAAACGTCCTGGCCTATTGATGGAAGCCAGTGGTTCACTGAGGAATGGAACATTTGACTATGCAGAGAAAGTTGAAAACACTAGCTCCCTTTCAACACCGTCTACCAGCCTTTGGGATTCCCCTTTCGCGCAGGATTCACTCGGCGATACTGTCATTCATTTTGACAAGGTAAGTGCGTCAGTTTATAGATTGCTTGGCATTGTTTGGTATTTAATAATGAATTATCTAACCTGACATTAAAGAAACCGAACAGAAATACTTATGAGCTGTTTTCTGCAGGTGATAATATTTGGGGGTGTTCTAAGGAGCTGGGATCAAATAAAGTCCAAGTTTGAGCAACTTGTGTAAGAGTATTTCAACACAAAATATGATGACACTGTGGTTTTCATGATTATTCGTTTATCTAGCCTCAGAGCTTTACATCTTGCATGAATAACTCTGATCAATGGTTAATCGTCAGCCTTGGAATGGGCAGCCATGTGTTCTGTGGTGCTTCATTTTAACTCTTAACAGTTTGCTGGACAAAATATCGGCTTGGAACTTCCCTAAATTTTATAGAAGCATGAGAAAGGGATTTTCTGTTTTCAACTATACCTACAACTACAGTAAGATTTGTTTGTGAAGCAAACAATGTACCAGATATTTGTGTTCACTAGGCCCTGGAGAAAATGAGAGAGTATGAGAAGCTGAAGGCAGAGAGTGAAAGGGCAAGAGGTGTGTTGAGTGACAGTGAAGCTGTGAGAGGACGAGATGGACGACCATCACTCACAGACCACTTGCAAGCTAATGGTGGCACCATGGACCAAGGCAGTGAGAGCTCAGTGTCAGACATGCCGGTCAGTGTTAGTATCATTTTTCATTCTGGAGACTATTTTTCATTCTGGAGACTGTCCATATATTTTTTTATGTATGCATGCCAAAAGAGGACAAAGGATGTTTAATGTAAAACATTTCATTTGCCTGATCTTATTCATGTGCAGTACAAATATTTTTATCATGATTTCTCCTTCAGCGTTACATGGCAATATGGTTGGAATAGTGCCAACCACAAAGTGATGCTATTGCATTTTTATCACTTTGATTAATCAGCATTATGTTTGGATAACAGGTTTAGGAAAAGACTCATTTTGATTTTCTCAGATGTTGTTTATATCAAATGTTCCTCAAAAGTTAGAGCCTGGTTATTTACATTGCCAACAGCTGCATTTTCACTGCACTGAATTTTCTGAGAATGTTTAGTATTCATGGGTAGTGGAAATATGTGAACTAATTGGTGTGAGTTTTAAATTGCTTCTTCCTACACCACTGTATATGTTACTGTTGTATTATTCAGTACCCACGGATTGACACTAACCAGCTGGACCAACAGATAAAGAGCATTATGACTGAGATCATGCCAGTGATTAAAGAGCATATGGATGATGCCTGCTCCCAACAGTTGCTGGCATACATCAAGCGTCTTGTGCTCTCTCTCACAAGGCAGCATGATAATGGACAGGAGTTTGCTCGATTCTTCCACAGACAGCTGGGATCCATACTCCAGGACTCCATGGCTAAATTTGAGGGCCGCAGGTAGGGTTGATGATACTCAAACTATTTACTGTCAACTGTGATAATAGCTGGAGTATTGGTGACTAGCGTTAAATAGAAATTGATTACTCATGCAAAACATTTCAACGTTCATGGACTGATTGATGTTTGTTTTGTTTTTGCTTCATTTAGAATGCGTGAATGTGGAGAGGAAATGCTAGTGGATATGTCAGAGGTTCTTTTCAATGAACTGGCTTTCTTCCGGCTCATGCAAGATCTGGATGAACCAACCATAGCAGACAAGATCCGAACAAATGCATGGTTTCAGGTCAGTAACAGCTTTTCTCTTTGTGGCTCTGAAAAAGTTCTTCATTTGTCTTTCGATGCAGAGCGTTATCTGTTGCATTAGTTGTCCACTCATTCAGTCATTTCATGAATTGTGTTTGATTTGCAGTCTGTCTCTGATAAGTCTGCCTCCAGCAAGAAAATGGCAATCCTTGTGGGTGAGGAATCTGATGGTAACGAGAGCAGTTCGGAGCCTACAGATGATGACCGTATTCCTTCCACACTCAGGATGACCAAAACTGAAGAGGAGGATCTGGGAAAGGTAACCACAGACATTGTTTCTTTGTGTGATGCTGCTTGTGATAGTCACGGGGCACGGGTGGCCCAGTCGTCTATGGCACCACGTCCCTTGGGCACGCCATAAACCTATGATTGTGGGTTAGAATCCCGGTTGGCCCCAATTATGTTTCTAGGTTTGTCAGCACCATACCCGTGCTCGTGGGTTTCACCGAAGTGGTAAACGTCTGAGACCTGTATCACTTCGAGCTTTCCTCCCACATTAGGCTGACACGCCACGATATAACTGGAATACTGTTAAAAGTGGCGTTAAACCCAACTCACTCACTGTAATAGTCACTCTCTTCATTCCAGTGCTAGCTTGTGGTAGTAGCTTATTATTACTAGGAAGTTAATAGCATTGTTGGAGCAAATGGCTTTTGGCATTCAGATTTTTAGAGGTACATGGTGTGTACATTACTTGCAATAATATCGAACAGCTAAATGTTTCAGTTGATGAAACATTAACTTTGTTGATAAGGATGTTGATATTACAGGACCGGGATGATGAGCTGGCTAGTGAGATGCCAATACAGGATGCAGAGGAGAAGGATGAAGATCCGGAATCCCCATACAAAGCTGCAGGACTGCAGATAGAGCTGGCTGTTAGTGAGACCAAACCATTTACCAGGTCAGTTACCACAATGATCAGTTCTGAAAACGAAATACAAGGGGAGGCAGGATCAAAACGTTTTGAGTCTGGCTAGCTCAACTTTATAAGAATGTTGACAGTTTTTTTATTTTGTCATGGGAATTTCATTTATTTTTGCATTCTTCTTTGTTTCTTACAGAATTGGAAGTGATGAAGATGAGGATGAAGCAGATGAGTCGCAAAGTATGGAGGACCCATCTGAGACTGCTGTGTCTCGGGATAACAAACTGGAGCATTCACAGCCAGTTCACGAGTCATCAGCTAGTGGAGAATCCGAGAGTCAGCAGAGAGAAGCAGAATCAACTCCTGTGAAGGAGAACAATGCTACTGCTGAAGAGGAGAAGGAGGCTGACACACAACAACAGCCAGAGACATCAGAGGCAGATGGCACAGTAACAGGGGGGACAACTCCAGTAAAGATAGATGCATTACAAGAGGAGGTCAGCCAGGTACCTGATCTCTTACTACTTTGTGGCTGTAGAATAGCCAAGTGTGAACTCTGAATATAAGGGTTTGATTTACACATATCTGCAAACCTATTCTTCATATGAACCGTTATGGCTTCTATTAAGTTAATAACAACTTACTATACATGATTATGGAGTATTATATAGGAAGTAATGTTCAACAGTTCTACAGCTAGCTAGAATATTAGTCTTGTTTCCCTGTATCAGACTAAATCTGTCTGAGTGGACCTTCCTGTTAAGTACATTTTGTCTACCAGCAGGCTGAAGGTCATGTCAATGGTGAAGTGCACATTAATGGAGATGTATACATTGAGGACATCTGTCTGGAGGACCTTCCTGTCACACTCACAGTTGGCAGTCCAGTAAGATTGTTTTCTTATTAACCAAGTATTTTAAAGTGTTGACTGGCTTCAGCAAAGATCCATGTTCAATTCCTGACATTAGTACAAATTATGTGATTCTGTGTCTTGTGCTATAGAAATTTATTTATAATTATTCAACCAATGGCTCAGTGACAAACCAAAATGCATATGACTTTATTTTTTATCTTATTTTAGATGAACGAGTAGAAGATCATGTTTATATTATATTGCAACATACATTAAATACTTTTTTATCACTTAATACTTGTTATGCAATGTATATATGGATAGATGTATTCAGTAAAACAGACTATGTTTGCAAGCCAAAACTGGATGTGTATGGAATGTATTTCAGGCTGACCTTGAAGAGAGGTTAGAAGAAGAGCAGAAGCTTACTACTGGTGCTGCAGGTATTCTAACAACGATGGAGACTTCCGCAGAGCTGGTTGGAGACGGAAGCGCCCTAAAAGAACCAGGTACCAATATTGTCCAGTTCTGACTCCTGTACCTCTGCATCTGTTGGGGGGCACGGGTGGCCCAGTCGTCAAAGGCGCTGTGATTCGCTGTGCAGAGTTGCGTCCCTTGGGCACGCCAGAAACTTATGATTGTGGGATCGAATCCCGGTTCGCCCCCATTATGTTTCTAGGTTTGTCAGCACCATACCCGTGCTCGTGGGTTTCACCGAAGTGGTAAACATCTGTGACCTGCATCACTTCGGGCTTTCCTCCCACATTAAGCTGACACGCCGCGATATAACTGGAATACTGTTAAAAGCGGCGTTAAACCCAACTCACTCACTCACTCTGCATCTGTTGGGAATAAACACAGTACATTCTTTGGTGCACTTTGATCAGTTACTTCTTTCTGTATGTGTGTTTGTAAATAGTACGCTACTAAGATGGCAGGATATTTGTTTTATGAAGTGCTTTTGATGCAGGGTTGTTTTGCTGATGATTTTCTAAATGATATCCTCAGTTCTTACACTGTCAGTATATCACATTGTATTGCAACTATTGTTGCTTGTCCCACCACACTGGGAATCCTGGGTAGTATTGGTTCCCTGATACCAATGTGTCTTGGTGGACAGCCTCAATGATTTGGTTGATTGTGTGTCTTTGTACCCAAACAGAATGGGATGTTCATAATATTATTTACATGTTTAACTGGTCCAGATTATTTACAGGCGATATTGTTTAAGTTATATTATGTACAGCATTAAGCAACAAAGAAACAAAAGTAAATAACAAAATATTGTAGCTCCAGTATGAGGTATCACATTGCAATGCACTATTGTCGTTTTTTATTTTGTTTATTCATATAGTCGTGCTATTTGAACCTGATATTCTCCCAAATTACCATCTGTGCTTGTTTGTCTTCTATGTCCAGAGTATGATGAGTAATTACATATTCATTGCAACCATATTGTTATCTTTTTTCATAAACGTAGATATGGCAGTACAGGTTCTAAATCCTGTCCTATTTATTTCTGTTTTAGAGAGTGAAGCATAACAACATCATTCTACTGATGGAAGACTTCAACATCAGCAGTCAACACATTTTCACGTTCACCACTTACTGATTAGACAATACTGTTGTTGTTACTGTTGTGACTATCAGCATATGCTGACAACCATGTTTACTACTACATTCACATCCAAGCCAAACTGAAGCATTACTGAGTTGCCTGTCCATTGATACTGGCCTCAGTTTCACACAGGCCGTAGTAACACAGCCTCACTGTGATCTAACTCACCAACTGCTGATGAGATGTAGGTTGCATTGTTATTCCATCCATCATTGTTGTTTTCTTGTTGATATAGATGATGTTTCATAGCTTTATATTTTCAGGATTATGTAATTTATTTTATGCCAATTAACAAGTTATATATTTTGCCAGTTAGTAATTGTATGCTGAAAAACAGCTTTAAAACATACCTTTATCATGATTATCATGCTATAGAAGTCACCACCACATAACACATTGGAAAATCAAAGTCAGGACAGTTAGTAAATCAAACAATGAATAGCTGTGTTATCTTTTCAAACTGCTACCTACAGTAAAGCATTTAAATTAACAGGTTGACCAGTGTAAGTATTTAGTGTGTGCTCCCAACCCACCTTGACACAGCCACCAAACACAATGATAGATCATGCACTTGTCTCTGATATTGCAGTGTGCTGTGTAAACCACTTCAGGGTTTCATCTCTATCATTCATACCATGTCCATGTTTCCAGCCCTACCAGGTACAGTGGTAGTTCATCCCTATCTTGTACCAATGCTATATACAGTCGGCTTCTCATTATCTCAAAGTTTTTGAAATACTAGGGTTTTTTCTGTGCCATTTTTTGGTTGACTTATAATCAAGAATGCAAAAAACCTGAAACATTTACTAGCTCTGGTGACATATAGCAACACCTGCTATTAATCCTGAAATTCTACTGGTTGTTATACCTTTAACAGGAGACAAATGACACCTCTAGTGGGCTAGTGCCAAATTCAAAACCTGGTAATCCTTTGTGAGTGAGTAAGTTCAAAGTTAATGTTGCATCAGCAATATTCAGCCAATATTGTCACAATGAAAAAAACTAATCCTATGAACATTACATGACATTACAGATAATTTCAAAATTTACTGAAAGGTTTGAACATTAAATAAGAAATACATGGTTTTTTTCATCACGCCTGTTCCTCTGCTATGCAAGATCCTATTCTCTGTTTGTAAATTGATCTGTAACTTTAGAGATAATGAGAGACGACTGTAAATCCAAACCTATCCACATGAACATTATCGTTCCTAATGTAAAATTGATTTATTTCAAAACTATCAGATATTGATTAATGATTACCAATAATCCTCTCTCCTGGCTTGTCCCCATACATTTGTCACTGGAGTGAGATGTTATTTGTACACATGCTATTATCAGGCAGTGAGGTAAATATGAAAGTGTAATGGTTGAAGACAGGTGTCAAGTACCAACTGAAGTAACACATATTTTGCAGATGAAATGAAATAACAAATTGTGACTATACAAAGCTTTGCTTGTCAATTATTGAATTGCAGCTGGTTTGAAAGGATGCAAGACCCGTTGAATGGGAGATGAAAGGTACCATCAGTTAATGACATTGACACTGTAAGCCGATGAACCATAACTTTCCTTGTATATTTTGATCCCATCTAACTATTGTCCTAGTGCTATGGTACATAAACCTGCATGTTGTCTTTGAAATCTCCAGCATTAAAATGTAAGAATGTCAGCTGATGAGAAGTGACATGAAGTGGACCAAACTGGACCAAACTGAGGAAGTGTCTGTGATTTCTGCCTGTGATTGTGAGGACAGGGAGTTCCCCAAGGGAAGCTCTCTGTCGTTGAGCATAAGTGTATAGTGACTGAGAAGAGGGCTGATGAGAGATGTAGGCAGCAGGCCACAAAGACTGCCCATGCTGTAACTGTGATGTGCTTTGCCACTGTTTTATCAATAAACTGATATAGCATCATAATTGAGTTGTATTATTTTTGTCAAATGAAGATGCACAGGTGGCCCATGTGTCTAACATGTCTAAGGCACCACAAGTTTGCTGTGAAGAGTAGCATCCCTTAGTCATGCCAGAATCCAGTGATTGCTGGTTAGAATCTCAGGTTCACTCTGATTTTGATTCTTGGTCTGTCAGTACAATATCTCCTTCAGTGGTAGAAACTAACATTTTTAGTCCACTAGTCCTTACAGTGATAACATATAGCAAAACCCTTAAAAATGGCAAATTTCTACTAGTCCTTATGATCCCTTAACTATTGGGCAGTTTGGCCAGGACTACAAGACTAGTGCCAATGATGTGATGTCACTGCAGTACCCATGGGGATTCCAGTCCCTAGCAACCTATGATAGTTGTAAGAGGTAACTAAATGGATTGGGTGGGCAGACTTGGATAAGAAGATTGCATGTCTTCATTCCCTGATGGTCTGGATCGTTCCTCGCAATATCAATCACTGATTTGTCTGGTAATTTCTTGATTATTTATAGCTGGGGAGTTGCTGAATGTGGCATTAAACAAACATACTGTTCAAAGCAGCATGAAACCAAACTCTCTCATTACTGGTATATTTTGTAAGTTTAGAAATGGATTGTGATTGAACTACAGCTGGTTTATGTGCAACCTATTTTTTGGTTGGATAATAAACCTCACACAGACACTTGCATCCCTATGCATATAGCAACCTATGATCATGGGTGTGAGGCCTGGTTCACCCTGAGTATGTTTCTAGGTTTGTCAACACCATTCATACCCATGCTTGTGGGTTTCACCAAAGTGGTAACATCTTAGACATGCATCGCTTTCTTCCTGCATCAAGCTGACATGCCATGATATAACTGAAATACTGTTCAAAGCGGTTATAAACCACACTGATGTATTGAGAGATGTGATTGTCATGGTGTATATTGTTCAACCGACAAAGTGTGTCATGAGATTTATGAAAGTACTGGTACTATTGCAGACTCTTTTTTTAACAGGTGTCTGTTGTATACAAACACAAACTACCATACTCGACGTAAAAAGCACCCAAAATTAGAAATAGGGGGCTCTTATTAGAATATTATTTTGGTGGAAAAAAGAGAGTTGAAAGATACATTTCGTGGTTTATGCTGACACACTGAAATGTTTATATGCCACAGATACATTTTTCCAGAATTTAATTGCCCATAATTAAGAATGCATATAACACACGAGTGCGTATTATACACGAATAAATTAGTCTTGTGTACATTGATCAATCGGAAGGAGTGCTAATTGGGATTGTTCACTAGCCAATATATTAGCAAATATCGCCGTGGGCGCTTATTAGAGCGCGGCGCTTATTACATCGAATACGGTAATTATTTCATCTGTATAGTGATGCATGCGTGTGTATTTGTGTGTGTGTGTCTGTCTGCTTCTGCTAGTCTGGACTTTTGCAAATTTTATAGTGCTAGCCCACTGAAATATCATGCTGCAGTTATAACAGGGATAATCCAATCAGACACATTACACCTACACAGAGATGGCCTGTCCTTGCTTTGTCCCCATAATGCTGAGCACAATGCAGGGTGACAGCAAGTACCATCTTTTAATGTTTTTGGTAAGAAGCGGCCAAATGCTCTTACCCACAACACCACAGAGGCAGCCATGCACACACACACTGAAGAAGGTTTATAAAAGGTGAAGGGTTGTGATTCTGAATCATGACACAAGTTGATTCACCCCATTATAATCAGGTCATACATTCTAACCACACAATTTTTATTAGCTCTCTGGCAGAGTAGGACCTGACTGATCACATGTCCAAAGGTATGTATCATACTACCCACCATTGAAATCCCTGACCCGAAGCTCTGATTAGCAAGAGGCTGCTGTGAAGTAAAGGGACACGACTGGTCCAGTTTGCTGTTAAGACTTGTGTTCCTCAGGTGTGCCAGGATTGTATGAAGATGAGTTCGAATCTCAAATTTGCCCTGATTATGTTTCTAGGTTTGTCAGCAACATACCTATGCTCATGGGTTTCATCAAGTTATTTGTCTAACTACACCTGTAGTACTTTGAGCTGTTTTTCCACATCAAGCTGACAGGACAGGATATAAATGAAATACTAAAAATAGACCTGTGATAGACCTGTGAATATTCCGGGTAGAATAGGTCTTCAGCAACCCATGCTTGCCGTAAAAGGCGACTATGCTTGTCGTAAAAGGCGACTAACGGGATCGGGTGGTCAGGCTCGCTGACTTGGTTGATACATGTCATCGATCCTAATTGCGTGGATCGATGCTCATGATATCAATCACTGGATTGTCTGGTCCAGACTCGATTATTTACAGACCGTGGTCATATAGCTGGAATATTGCTGAGTGCGGCGTTAAACAACAAACCAACCAACCAACTTTAAACAATGCAAAGCAAAACCTCTGAGGTAACAGTTTATTCTGTCAATGGCAGCATGAAATGAAATGACAAGGGTGAAGCTGTACACAGGTCACAGACAGGGGAACTTAAGAGATATACAGTATCAAGTAGGCAATTAAATACAAGGTGTGTTATGTACATTACATGAGGTATACTCAGGCTTGCTGAAATCTGGCACAGTATTATGGTGATATGACCAGGTGTAGACACAGACACTTCAATACGTCAGGACAAGTATCTTTCTCAAAATTTGAAGTCTGAACTAGTTTCATTACACAAGTCTGATCATCCTTGATATCCAGTGTATTATATTTCAATTCAGTTATTACAATAACCTGCACCCATCCCCTACCATAGCTTTCTTTTAGGCCCAATTTGAACAACAGTCCTGAGAATTTCCCTTGGTAAATGTCCCCAAACCCCCCTAAAAGTTTTTCTGTTCTATGTTTGACAACATTATGACAACACCAAAAATTTAAAATTACCGTATTTGACGTAATAAGCGCCCAAGGCGCTCTCAAAATTAGAAATAGGAGGCTCTTATTAGAATATTATTTTGGTTGAAAGATAAATTTCGTGGTTTATGCTGACAGCCTGCAATGTTTATATCTGACATACATTTTTCCAGAATTGAATTGCCCATACTTAAGGGTGCATATAACACTTGTGTACATTATTAGAGCGGGGTGCTTATTATGTCAAATACGGTATCTCAGGAGCAAATGAAATTCTGTGTTTGGACAGCAATATGAGCAATTTAGATGCTATTGTAACAAATGGGTCAAGGGTATTTATCTTGATATAATGGAGATATGATACACTGGATAATTGAGGCTGTAGTCTGATGGGGACAGGCTGAATGCACCTGATGAAAACAACATTGGATAATGAAATTACAGGAACCAACACAGGAAAGGACTGTCTGGTGTAAGGCTTTGAACACAATGGGCTATCCAACCCCAGTCAGAGAAGAATAGAAAAGATGTCCTATGTTATCGTAACAGATGATCTCCAGATTACAACTGGAATGACTTGATTATTTGGCCCAGAACCATGTTTAGGTGACACATTTTTTTTATTTTTCGATTTACAGATTTGACAGACAAGAGCCAAAAGCCACAATCAATAAGTAAGACAAGTTTCAATTTATTTTTATTGAACTGACAGTTTCATCTTTAATCCATTAGAAAATAAAAAGATACAACTAAAAAAAATCATAAAGGAAATAAGAAATGATAACCTTTTTATAAGAATTAATCTAATTTTATGTTACCATATTAACAATACACAGCGTTCTCGTTCCACAAAGTGATCTTAACGTTAAGATGACCGTAGCTCGCATACTTTAACATAAGCTACTAGTCATAGTGCTGAGATTGCTTTGTGGAACAGGGCCCTGAACTATAAAGAACATTAGCATTTGTTTTTTTCAACTAAAATGGCTGACCCATATTCTCAAGCCAAATATATTAAAAATACTGAGCTCCATATATTTTAACCTTTTTTTCAACCAACACAAGGTAATTCATAAGCAAATATCTGTTAACAAAATACGTGCAAATGTGGCTCAAGTGAGAGAATATTGCTTGGTGGAAAAGCAGACAAGCAGATTCGAAAATTTGGCGATAAAAGAATGGCAGGCTTACTGCAGAAACGAGATAAACCAAAAATATCAGCTTTTTGTAACTGATATAAACTAATATTGTGCTAGGGATAAGTGTAAGAATTATTCAATTACCGGTATATTGTTCATCCATTTCATACAAAAACATTTTTGTTTATCTTTGGTTGTTGCTCTCAAGTTGTAAAAAAAACTATCAACATGAAACATGTTTTGTCAAGTAAATTATAAGGTGACTACTGAAATAATCACTAAAACATTGTGCTTTTCACCAGTCATATGGTTGAGTTTCATGGCATTTAGCCAAAAGTCAGCTAGCTACTTCAGCAAAAATTAATGCTGAAATATACTTGAAGAGTTGTTCAGATCATTTAGTTCTGAAAGGAGAAATTCCAGTGGCCAGTCCTCATCTGTCTGCACAACAAAACAACAACATTGTCAACAATACACTGTCAGTGCATCAACATAAACCCATCCTCAGTCATCCAGGGTACTAAATCTCCATTCAATCAGATAGATACCCTGGACCAAGTCACCACTTTGTTTGAAGCCCATTCAAATGACACAACATTATTAATTACTGTTCAATGAAATACTTTCCTGAGTGAGAGAAAGTTTGTTCTGAGTTAATCGTAAGAAAGATAGCAGTAGTGACATCACTTCCACAACAAATCTATGGTGGAAAATGGGTCCAGGGTATTTATCCTGATAGAGACCCTGGATTACAGAGGATGGGTTAAACCATGCAGACGATATTGCACGGCTACTTCAATAAATAAATCAGACAGATGACTGAACAGAATGCAATAAATACTATACTACTCAAAAGAAGTTAAGGATCAACTGATTCTGATCCTTAACTTCTTTTGTGTAGTATTTATACATAAAAATGTAGCACCTCAGAGCACTGAACAAGAGCTGGAAATCACAAATCTGTTGTTTCGCTCTTTCACATGGAATCACAAAGACTCATGTCTTTTGTAAAAGGACAAAATTGTCCCAATTAAAACAAAGTTATTAATATCAAGTTGTTGTCTCCTACACTCTTCAAAGAAATATATAACCATAGCCCCATACCAAAAGTATTTGCCGATGAGTCTGTTTTATTTTTCTTTCTGTTTATTAGAATCGGAACATATTCGCTAAAGAATTTTACTTTCATCGACCAAAAGTTGCTGAATTGAATTCAAACCAGTGAAGAATTAATACTGGCATTTGATTTACCCAACTTGAGTCATTTTGAAAACCCAGTCATAACTAATTTTACTTTGGAATGTTGGTTTTCGCATGCTCCCTAGGACCAATCTATGTGCTAGGCACATACTATTGAACATTCATAACAATTAACAATAATCGGATGCTTCCTGAATTCTTTAAGCAAATAAATACTAAATGATCAATTTCTGCACATTCTTGTGTACAAGTCATACATAATATGGTACAGTCTGGTACACACAGGTAATTCCTGCTTCCAACAGTGTGTGATTACAAACTAAGTATGCCTTTTGTACCTGTCGTATCTTCGATCACTAATCTAATTCAAGGTACAGGTTGTCCACAGTTCTAGCTAACATATCTGATGATTCACCAGAGACCAAACAACAAAGATGGGGGAAAGATTTTATACATAGCAATTACCATTTACTTTTTTTGTGTGTTTGGGTAGACATCAATTTGAAAAAATTCTTGGTTAAATCATGATCACGGTCATATGTGTCCGGCTAGCCTAAGGGTTGCACATCTGTACAGAAAATTCTGACGCCTTTGACAACTGCGCCACCAAATAACCCCGACGACATCTACCACTCTTTTTTTGCCGCTTACATGTCGGCCTAGAAAATTGGTAAGACTAGATTTGTTTTTGTCTGGCCTTAATTAGTTGGGTTTTTTTTATGAAAAACTACCTGCTCCTGTATACAATGGTATATATATCTTCTGCATCTTCATCAATGAATTGCTGCTCCTAAAAATAGTGTTTGCACAACTTTCCACAAAAAATATATTGTGGCTACTGATAAATTAAAACCACGCTTACCTTACAATTTTGAAAAATATAAATAGAAACAATCTTGCAATTACACTAAAAATATAATTTTGTATTTGAATGAAATAAAACAAGTATTTGTCACAGAGTGACGAAATATCCCCCGCCTGTATATACACCATAGTACCAAATATGAAGACAATCCAGCGATTAGTTCTTGAGATATTGTGGCAACACCGTTTTCCAACTCCAAAAACAGATTTGCCTGCTGTGACCTTGAAAATGGGGTCAAGGTCACCAAATCTGACAGGTGTATGCGGTGTCTGTATATACACCATAGTTCCAAATATGAAGACAATCCAGTGATTAGTTCTTGAGATATCGCGGCAACACCGTTTTCTAACTCCAAAAGCAGATTTGCCTGCTGTGACCTTGAAAATGGGGTCAAGGTCACCAAAACCGACTGGTGTCTGCGGTGTCTGTATATACACCATAGTTCCAAATATGAAGACAATCCAGTGTTTAGTTCTTGAGATATCGCGGCAACACCGTTTTCCAACTCCAAAAGCAGATTTGCCTGCTGTGACCTTGAAAATGGGATCAAGGTCACCAAAACCGACTGGTGTCTGCGGAGTCTGTATATACACCATAGTTCCAAATATGAAGACAATCCAGTGTTTAGTTCTTGAGATATCGCGGCAACACCGTTTTCCAACTCTAAAAGCAGATTTGCCTGCTGTGACCTTGAAAATGGGGTCAAGGTCACCAAAACCGACTGGTGTCTGCGGTGTCTGTATATACACCATAGTTCCAAATATGAAGACAATCCAGTGTTTAGTTCTTGGGATATCGCGGCAACACCGTTTTCCAACTCTAAAAGCAGATTTGTCTGCTGTGACCTTGAAAATGGGATCAAGGTCACCAAAACCGACTGGTGTCTGCGGAGTCTGTATATACACCATAGTTCCAAATATGAAGACAATCCAGTGTTTATTTCTTGATATATCGCGGCAACACCGTTTTCCAACTCTAAAAGCAGATTTGTCTGCTGTGACCTTGAAAATGGGATCAAGGTCACCAAAACCGACTGGTGTCTGCGGAGTCTGTATATACACCATAGTTCCAAATATGAAGACAATCCAGTGTTCAGTTCTTGAGATATCGCGGCAACACCGTTTTCCAACTCCAAAAGCAGATATGCCTGCTGTGACCTTGAAAATGGGGTCAAGGTCACCAAAACCGACTGGTGTCTGCGGAGTCTGTATATACACCATAGTTCCAAATATGAAGACAATCCAGTGTTTAGTTCTTGAGATATCGCGGCAACAAACAGGTGGGACGTACGGACGGACGGACGGTCGTGAATACTATATCCCCCGCTTCGCGCTTTCGCGCGGCGGGGGATAAATATAAAAGAAACCATCATTTTGTAAAAAATGTCAGTTGTTCAGCTAATTTTCTGTCAAACTATTATGAAAGATTTTTTTAATTTATCATTTATCATTACAAAACTGACTGACGTGTTGCATGCTGAAGTGATACCTCAAACTTGTACCAACAGTACATTCAATGTCGTGTCAAGATAAAACTTGTTTTTCAATTATCAAAATTTTTAAACCTACAAAAAAGAAAGTAAATTCCTCAGCTGAAGAGATTTACTAAAAATCTTAATCAATAAGCAAACAACATAGGGTTAGACACAGCCACTCGTCCATTGATATGAGTGAAAATACAGGGACAAGTTGTTTAAACTACAAAATCTATTTTGTTCACAGACAACACCAGTCTGAATGCTCTGTGGACCAGATGGATATGAACAATGTTGTATCCCTTGACATTGGGACTGTTTAAGATGTGCAACCATTTCTCAATAGAATGACCCAATGAAATGTTGAAAACATGACATCAGAATACTAAACATGCACAAATGCAGACGGTGCTAATAATATCATATAAATCACAGGAAAATCATAAACTCTCACCACATGAAGCATGGAATGTGTATAAAGCTTGATCCCGTGTTTTGACCCACAACTTCATGAATGTTTGGTAAATACAATCGTAGAAATGAGCTATATTCAAGAATAGTCTATAGGACAAGTGTAAACCTTATTTCAGTACCGTATTCCCTTGATTAAATGCTCGGGCAATATTTTTTTCAGACACTCTTTACCCCCGGCATTTAATCACAAAGATAGTAATGGGGAAAATTGCATGCACTAAAACATAAAAAACTACCCTGTGTTTAATCGAGACCCCAGCATTTATTCGAGGCCTGGTGTTTACTTGAGGAAATGTAATCTTCAGAGTTTGTAGCTTGTCCAGTTTGAAAAAAAAGAAGATTACTATGTTTACATAGTCTGTCAGTATTGTTCAGTTTGTGATGCTTAGAGAACTGGTTCAGAATTTTAGCCCTCATATGCTACTAGTCAATGAGGACTACCATCATTTGATTTACACTTGTCCTCAGCACAATTTAGTAGCCTCAGGCTGGCAGACCAGCATGAAGGTTGTGAATAATGTTGATAGACCTGTTCCATCTTTTTGAGGCTGTGACAAATATTTAACCCAAGTTTTGAACCGCTTTGAAGTTTTATCACAGATTGTCAGCTTGATCTGGAAGAAAGCCCGAAGTGATGCACATTTTAGACGTTTACAACTTTGGTGGAACCCACGAGAACAGGTTGGTGCTGACAAATCTAAACTCTTCTAGTAAAAACATGATCAGCGCAAACCTTTGATTCGAACCCACAATCACAGGTTTCTGGCAAGTCTAAGGCCCTATACTCTTCACAAAAAGTTGCTGCGTCTGAGACTGCTGGGTCACCCGTGCCCCCTAAAATGTCCATGAAGACATGTTGTTACCATATCAGAATGTTATAAATCATGTTATATAGACTACTGAGTCTTGATACATTGTTATAAATGATTGTTACAACTTAAATTGATATGCCATTGGAAGACTTGTTCTTACAAATTCATGAAATAAAGCCAAAATGTTTTGTCACCATTTTTTTCTTCAATTTTAGGAGTTTTAGGAGGTACAAGAACTAAAGCCCTATCTCTCTACCAAGACTCAAGACAATCCTTACTAAGAGCATCTCTTAGCATCCTATTGTCTTAACATCTTAATATCGATCTATATCTATTTACCATTTTTCAACCGTATTCAACCTAATAAAAGCCTCAACCCTTTCATCGCTTCCATGAAACATTGACATTGATATCATTTACATTTATCATTGATGCCATGTAAGTCTGGCAAACCCTCTTTCCTGTTAAAAATATTTACATTTATGGAAGGGACACTACTCCATAACAATGGCGTATTCAAACCAAAATTTCTAAAAGCCTTAAAATTTTCACTTGGAATGGTACCATCTGGGCTGTCCTGTTCAGTGAATCTCCTCCAAATGTTGATGTCAGAAAAATATCAGGTTACACTATCAAATGTGTAGCCTGGAGCTGCAATAAATAAATAAATAATTCATGACGCATAAATAAATACACAAGCATAATAATAGTCATACATTGTCATCTTCAAGTGTAATTCGGCTGTAGCTAGCAGAGATTCTAACTGTACCCAGGTCTTGTAAACAAATCAAACAAATCATTGGTCCTGTAAACATGTCCGACAAATGAAGAATTCAGCAGACTTTATCGTGAATCTGGTTATCTCGAAATAATGTCGAAATATTGAATAACCAGAGTTCATTATAGAGGTGTAACATTCTGTGGATTACATTTCATCTTTAAACTGTTGTTTTTGGAGGCCATCATAACTACTAGCATCAATAGTTCTTCAGCAACACATTCATAATTACTATTGATGAATACATGTACCCATATTGGACTCTGACAGTTGCAAAGAGGAGCAAACTGTTTGTTATGTCAACACCTTAAAACAACTTTAGCTGCACAGCTATACAAATTCTTTCAAAATCAGCAAATTTGTAATTACTAATACAAAAAAGACATTAATTGAAATAATATCACCTTTAAATCTGTTTCTGGCAACCCTTCGTTTCAAATGTATTTGATATGACTTGAGCTGGTCAGTGGGAAGAAATTGATCATATTCCATGAAATATGAACAGACTCACATCGATAATTACTGCTCCCACGTGTTACAAGTAACTGTACCCATAACACATGAGTCAGGAGATAGGTACCTCTCTGATAAGGTACATCATCCTTGTCAAAGCTGCTAAAATGGGGATCAGGAGTAAGTGAGTGAGTTTGGTTTTATGCCACTTTCAGCAATATTTCAGCAATATTCCAGCAGAGGACACAAGAAAAGGTTTTCATTGGGATCAGGAGATTGGTGCCACTATGGATAGGTACACCATCCTTGTCACAATAGCTACTCAAATGGGGATCTTGTGGCTACAATGGCTGCTGAAGGTGGACAATCCTTTCTCAGCTGTGGTTGGCTGGTGTAGTGTGTCACCAAACCCTTATGTGGATCAGTTCTCACACTATAGACCCCTGGTTTGCCTGCTCCAGACTAAAACCTCCTGGCAGGACACTGTCATATTCCGAAACATGTCTAAATATGGTGTAGTGTAGCCACATTGTTACTGATGTTTCAATTAGACTACAAGCAGATCACAACTGTTCATATACTTATAACCAGTAATGCTATTTTTTAAAAGGACAAATTAGAAATTTGAAACTCTATTCATCGATATTAGAAGTAGATTCCAATTGTTCCTATATTTATTACCAGCAATGTTATTTCTGAAACAGACAATCAGTAATTTGACACTCCATGTCTATTTTGGTACTTGTTTGATGATGACCCCCATTGCCTTTGCCTCCTCCGAGGTCGGGAGCACCACATTCATACTAAGACTGTTGCCACGGGAACAGACATAGGTGTCCGACCTCTCCACTTGTATGACCTTCTCTTCTTCATCACAGATGACGAGCGTTGCCTGGATCCTTGCCTCGCCGTTGATGAGGGCCGACTCATGAGCGTAGATCTGTATCGTCCATCCCTCATTGTTTGTGTTTGTCTTTCTGTACGTGATCTTCCACTCTCCGTCTCTGTTGTCCGAAGGCACAGGACCAACGGAGGTACGGACATCCACCTGAATTCCAAACCTGAGTGTGTTCTGCATTCGGACTGTATCCACAGTCAGATCGGTGTAATCCCGAGGCAAGAAATATGGCTTCACAAAAGAGATTTCAAGTTGACTTTGCGCTGGACAGAGAGACCGGTAGCGGTAGGCTTGACTGATGAGGTCCTGAAGTTGGGACTTACACTGCTGATCATCAAGGTCAAGGTCAGCATCAGTTTCGATCTTATACAGCTGGTCAACCAGCATCTGTGGGAAGCGGATCAGAGGAAGGAGTTCCTTGGCGTAGTCCGAAAAGTTGGGCACATGGTTCTCATGAAGCAGCCAGTTCCTCACAGCTTTGTAGAGATGGAACTCGCTTGATACGACTAGATCCGAGTTGTGTAAAATGTCCGACACAAACTCAATGTCCATGTTGTACCACTCCGGCAGCATGAGCAGCGTCTCCATGTTCCAGGCTATCGTCTTGGAACACTGGTCAATCAGCTCTTCCATGTTGAGAGCCTTGGCCCATGAGTACCAGTTCAATGCATTCCGGACCTTGGGTGAGCGTGTGTTGTCCACCATGTAGCGTGTGCACAACTGTTTCAAGGACAACACACTGTATTTGTCAGCCAGACAGAGGATTCCCACGGCAGAGTCCACACTGATGTTCACTTCCGCTGTGTACAGGAAGCGGAGGAATCGGTCAAAGTGTTGCTGGCATTCCGGGCTTTCGTTCAGCTCCACTTCAGGTTTAACAGGCTGGGTCCATCGGCTCTCGTACAACATGGCCCGGAATACCTCACTGGACTTGGCCAGCACAAACTTGTGTGCATAGTAGGTGTCTTTTCCTATTTTGAGCTGGACGTCACTGAGCGCCTCCTGGTTGTAGAACTGTGACACCCCCTTGATGAAGTCCCCCTCGTCCCGCAACACGTAGTTGTCATGCTGCTGCAGCATCCCCGGGGAGGACTCACTCTCCATCTTCTGAAACAGAACATGGTCATGTAAATAAAATAAAAACTTTTATGCATTTGATTGTCTAACCAAGCAGTTGGGGGTGGGGGATCGGGTTTCCATTAACCAAACAAAACTAAGACCACGACCACTAACTAATTCCAGAGTGGCTGATAACAGAATGGGTAGGGCTTGTTTTGCATTATTGCACTGGACGATGTCACTGATTTCGTACTGTTTGTTGTTAATGATTAAATAATAGTTTATTTATAAAAATTGACATATGTTTTTACATCAAAAAGGGTGTGCGCACATTGCATAAATCCACTTCGCAGATCTACACAGTATGCATACTGGTTTATACATTGAAACCAATGCAAACAAAATAAATGAAGTCAATTCTTAATTAATTCTCTGCATGTTAGGCTAAAAAAATAATAGTCTTGGTTCTCAGGAACTGCCCACATCATCATAAAGTTCATTGCACATTTTGTTTTTGTTTCTTTTTTTTCAAAAAGAAATTGTGCATCGTGTCCAAGTATTAGGATTTTTATATTTTGTTTAAAATGGAAATAAAAACAAAACATGCATCAGACTTTATGATGATGTGGGTGGTGCCTGAGAACCCAATCTCATTAAAATCAGATCTTAGTTCTCGCTGCCGCTAAACAAAGATCTGAGGACATCCCATTACGGGTCACGTCAGACCGACCTTTCACAAACTCTGACCGACCAATGGAATTCCTGACAAGAAGTCGACATTAGCCAATCAGAAGGCAGCTTTCTCGTGCTTTACAGCACTAATTTCAAATTGGCGACTACACTTCGAAACATATTTTGACAAATTCTCGCTTAAAAATTTGAAACCTGAACAAAAGAACGTTTTAGAATGGCTAATATATGGTCTAGATTGTATAGATTCAGTCGTTGAGCCCGTAACTATCGTTTTAACGTTTTCGAGGCTGCATGATTAACAAGAGTGCTCTGAGAGCACAACATCCCCCACATGATTTTTTTTAACGAGTTTATATTTTCTTTGTATTTTTCATGAAGCTTCATAAAACAGGGGCAGTAACTCTGTCAAAATTTGTTGAAATGATACGGGACTGCGATATGCGTATCATCAACATGTCGACTTGTGTGTAGAGTGTCAGGGATATTCTCTGGAAACTGTAGGAGGAGTTGATTTCACAAGCTTAGTACCCTCTGTGGGACGGACAGACGGACGGACTGCGCCACCACATAATCCCCCTTCGGCCATTCTGGCCCGGCGGGGGATAAAAATCACATTCCGACTGTCACTTTCATGATCTGGTAAGCGACGCTCTGATTGGTCAGATGAAAGGTCGTTCTGACTTGAACCCTAATGGGATGTCCTCAGATCTTTGTTTAGCGGTAGTGAGAACTAAGATCTGATTTTAATGAGATTGCCTGAGAACCAAGACTATTATTTTTTTATCCTTCGGAACATTTCATTTCCATTTGAATCAGACCACCTCCCAGTGGTATGTTTTATCAAGTGTAAGACTTAAACTCCTGACTACTGAATCTCTCTGAGAGTATACTCTTCCTGGCTTAGTGGAAAGTTCATGAAGAAATACTGAACTTATTACTTGAATGAAACTTGATGAAAGAGTTGAGTGAGTGAATGTTGACCGATAAATATCCAGACCAGGCAGATCAGGAAGTAAGGGGATGGTACCGAGGCCTGGGGATTGGGGATAACATGGTTCGCCTTTTAAAAACATTTTCTTATCCCCAATCCCTAATCCCCTGGCCTTGGAACCATCAGGTTGTGTTTTTCCATTATGACCACGAAGATTAATCAATTTTGAAATCATATTTCAAATTCTGTTATGTATCTCTAATGAATCGACTTGAAATGGGTAGAATATTACAGTTTTCATGTTCCAGCTGTCACACTGGTTAGAGAAAAATCAATTATAGATCTGCTTTGGAAATGTAGCTTTGGCTGAGGAGCAAAGGCACACACACACACACGCACACACACACATGCACACACACACACCTGCACTCACACACAGAGGCACACACGCACACACACACAGGCACACACACACATTATTAACATATTGAAATATACTACTCAAGATCTTATCAAAGAGAAATAAATCTTACCAAGCATTTCAGATCCTTAAAACTTACAGAACTAGTATACAGTTCCATGATCCAGAATGATAAAATGGATCTGTGTGTTTAAATGTCCATGCCCAATGTGTGGAACTGCCAACTTAAGGCATCCAATGTGTGGAGCTGCCGATCTAATGGTACCTTTTGTCACAACCTAAACCTCTCCCTATACCTCCGGCAGTCAGCTGGACAAATTGTACATGACTTTATCAAAGACTCCTGTCACAATCATTGTGGGTGTCCATTACAAGCCATATATCATCCGACAGGCTGCCTGCCAGAACGTCAGCTGATCGTCAGTTGATATGGTGTTGGTTACATTCAATGAGCACTTACAGATTCCTCTTCTCAACAGAAACCCATAAAACCTTTTGTCATCGCGACTCCTGGGCAATTGTGTGTGTTCAACCAAATTTATGTCAAGGGTACTTGTTGCTTATAACAGTGTATACTTAACATATGTTATTAGGTCAGACCAAAATAATTTATTGTTGGACAAGCCCATCTAATATTTTGCTAACGTAAACACAAACGGTATTTTATTGAATTATTTTCTTCTTATTCATTTTGGGGTTGGTGGGGAGTATTTATTACATAACCTTAATTCATCCATGAGTGAGGATGGTTTTACGCTGCTCTTAGCAATATTCCAGCTATTTCACAGCGGGGGACACCAGAAATGGGCTTCACACATTGTACATGTGGGGACACGAACCCGGGCCTTTAGCGTAATGAGTAAATACTTTAACCACTAGGCTGACCCACCACCCCAAATCAACCCTGAAATCATGTAATATGTTCCTTTATATCATATGACCATATTCTGTGAAACAAGAAATAATATCATGTGTATATAAGAAATAATGTGGGTCTTGCCTCAAGATTTCCTTCAGCTGGTAAACAAGACTCCAATTATGCAAAAATAAAGACAGAAATCATTTCTTCAAGAAAATTGAGTTTCCTGCGATACGATGCAGAGGGATCGATTTGGCTGATCATCTAAATGTGAGCTTTGTGCTCCACATATCTGATTCCTGTGACAAGGAAACACACAGAAGCCACAACTATTGACCCTGCTTCAAACAATGAGAGTGTCTAAGTCTAATAAACTACAACTTAAAGGATTAGGGGTTATCAGTCCTGAGAGAATTAATGTTGTAAGTTCCAAGCAATATTCATTGATATTGAGCAACTTTAAACATTAATTCACAAAGGAAGTTAATCCATAATCCTGGGTGCAAGTAGGTTAATATTTTGATCACCCGTAGTCATTTTACTGAGAGAATGTTGAAATATATGTCCGTGTTAGAAATTAGCACTAGTCCTGTAGTCTTTGCCAAACTGCCCAATAGTTAAGGTATCACAAGGACTAGTAGAAATTTGCTACCGATATTTTATGGGTTTTGCTATATGTTATCATCATAAAGACTAGTGGAATAAAACAGTTAGTTTCTACCGCTGTATGTGTTTCAGTCTCAAGATGAAACATCGGATCAGTTACTCTATTGTTTGAACAATGGCATGGGAAATTGTTTGTGATGTCATGAACAATAGATATGCATTTACATGCAACAGTGCATTCACATGACGACATGTTGCTATGGGCTTCTTTGTAACAATGTAAACAATTGGAACAAATTAGCCAATCAGCATGAAGCAAAAGTTATAATATACATATTGAGAATTATTAAATATCACCTATATCCATGTCCTATGGGTTATATTCACCCTTTACCAGAGGCACACCCACTATACACATATTCACTAAAGGACCTTGAACAATGGCATCAGTACATGTATATGCGTGAATGAACAGAGTTCATGTGCAGTGAAAAATGATGTCATCCACAAGCATAGCTCTGTGGAGAAGACCCTTGTGTACAAAGGAAGATATGCACAGGTGACAAGCAACAGTCTCAGTAATTGAAAGTGCAAACAACGGCTGACATCATCGTTGTAGCAGACTAGGGCTGAGACGAGTCCAAATTGACTACCCGGGTACCCGACCCCTATTACCCGACCCTACCCGGGTACCTGCTGTAGGTCATAAGTTGGACACAAAATATTCAATTGGGAATTGTTTTACCAGAGCCCTGGCAAAAAGTGTTTAGATTAAGTTTAAAACGATCTGATTGTACATACACTGAAGTTGAGTGAAACTTTGTCTTAACTCAAACATTTTAAAGTCAGAAGGAATGTGTGCATAGTCAAAAAGAAATGCGAACATTAGCGACTAGTATTAGTGTAACCATGGAATTTTATTGTGATTGTCATTTAACCGTATATCAGATGAGAAACCATGGGTCTGGGTAGTCCTGTGGGTACCCGGGTCCTACTCAGGACCCACCCGACCTGAGTACCCGAGTTACCCGTCCAAGCCCTATAGAAGACCATGGAAAGAAAGTCAGTGTTTGGGTTCTCTCGTACATCACCGATGACCTCTTGACATAAGTTACTTGAAGCTGTACTAGAGACTTTCTTGTTGTGAAACTAAACAGTCATTAAGGACTTAACTGATTCATAAGTTGTTGAGGTTTTGTTTAGTTTGGAGAAACATACATTAAACAGATTATTTCTGAATACTTACTCCGTCTCACAAATCACTAGCTTACATATTTAATTTTACCCTGTGCTTGGCATTAAGGGGATAAAACAAGTACAGGTTGGCTTGGAGTCAGTATACTTTGTCTGGGTTGAGTATCAATGTTTAACGGTGGTGTGTTATCTCAGTGGGGTAACATTACGAAATCTGTATACCGTATTCGACGTAATAAGCTCCCCACTCTAATAAGCGCCCACGGCGATATTTGCTGATATATTGGCTTGTGAACAATCCCAATTAGCACCCTTCCGATTGATCAATGTACACAAGACTTATT